ACTTCACGTAGGGTCTGTTGAATATATACCAGTTCTCCTATAAACTTTTACTTTAACTCCATCAGCTCTTACGTGCCTGCCTGCCTGTAGCCTCCATTAGGACTTTATCACTAGGTTTTGGTTTTACAGCACTGGGTGGGGGAGTGGTGACAGCAGACATAACACCCATCCCCATGAAACAGTCAGGTAAAGTTGACATGCTTTTTTAATGTGAAGCCTGGGTGAACATTCCAGTTTTCATAAGTTTATCAACCCTTATATTTCTGTATTATTTCACCAAAGGGTTTTGGTACCATAGTTCTCATATCAAGGAGTTCTAAAAATTTCTCTTTTTTGTCCCCTGACCATATTACCTAATTTGTGTAAAAAGACTTTGGGTCCCTATCAAGAGGTACGTGATTAACCAAGTACCTGCTCTCAAGGATTGCTGGTCAGATTTCTCATTATAATTTCTGTCTTCCAGCTTTTTAAAACTTTTCAAAATGGGGTGAATAGAGAAGTCGGGCCCATTGGTGTTGGGGGCCCAACAGCCCACCCAGCCTTCGGTGGTGCTGTGTTAAAGCATTTGTTTTAACTCCATCAATGTCCATTTTCATGTTTATCATAGTTTGTTTTTTTTAAGTAATCATCTAAAGATTTCCACCCTGCTAAGACTAGTCCTGTGACTCTCCACTGTTTTTTCTCTGTTTTACCTCTCAATATTTGTTTTATTTATCTATTTTTAAATGATCCTTTAAAATTTTCTACTATGTAGGGAAGAGTCCCAGGACTCTTCCCTTGGCCTCTCCCCACTCTCTTGTTAATTAAGGTAATGTTTTTATCTGCATCTGTAAGACCCATGAGGAGAAGCTGAGACTAGAAATTCAATGGTTTCTCTTTCCTTAAGGAAGTTTTTTTTTAATTGTTAAACTTTTAAAAATTTTATTAAGTACAGTTGTCTCCATCTTCTTCCCACTACTACCCTGCACCCCACCCATCCCCACCTCCCACCCCTTTGGCTTTGTCCGTGGATCCTTTATACATGTTTTTTGATAACCCTTCCCCTCCCTCCCCCCCCATTACCCCCTTCCTCCTCCCCTCTGGTTACTGTCAGTTTTTATTTCAATGTCTCTGGTTCTATTTTGCTCACTTGTTTTGTTGATTAGGTTCCACTTGTAGATGAGATCATATGGTATTTGTCTCTTGCAGCCTGGCTTATTTCACTTAGCATAATGCTCTCCAGTTCCATCCGTGCCCTTGCAAAGGGTGGGAGCTCTATTAAGAGAGTTCTTAGGCTAGGTGTTATATTTCTTTGTATTCACTTTTAAAATTTGGTCTTTCCATGGATACCAATAAAATAGCTGATATGATAAAAGCTTGCTTAAATTTTTGTAAGCCTTTTTATGGCTTAACCAAGGGCCACACAACAGTGTAAAACTAACTCAGCCCTCACAAGATTCAGAAGGTTCACTCCCAGAGTATTCTAAGTAAGAAGCCCATTTGGCAGTCAAGCTACAAAGATTAAGGTGACTAACGTCCCTTGTGAAGTTGGACGCCTCATGAAATTCCTGAGAGCTGGTAAGATGACAGAGAAACCGAGATACAGCTGCCAGGAATCCCCAGGCCATTTGGCTGCCAAGTGCATGCCAGTAAGTTCATCTTCTGGATGACCAGAACCAAAGAGGAGGTCAAGACCAAGCTCTCAAAACATGGAACAAGACATGACATAGCAGATTAAATACTGACCATCTTTCAGCAGAAAGGATCAGTAAAAACCAAGAGTGCCATACCAAATAACCAAGAGTCAGTCACTGAGCCCAAGGGTCTAGTTCCAGAAATATTTTCTGCTAGCATTACAAAAGGAAGAAAAGGACTCTCACCACTCTGCAGGTAGAGATCTGGGGGTCTGACGTGACAGGAATCTGTGCCTTTTGCCAGCTCGTGCTGGGGTCCCAGGATCTTCCCACTGCAGCAGCTTCAGGGTAAGCAGTGCCCAGCCAGCAAGGTGTCCTGCCCACAGCGCCAACTGTGGGGAAGGAAACCGTCCTCTACCAGCCCAGGTTCTTTTGGCTGGTCTAACCATCAAATAGGCGTGAGACAGGTCAAAAGAGATGATGACCAAGTTAGTCACCTTTGTACCTGTGGAGTCCCCACATAACAGGAGAGAGTCAGAGACAGAAGGAGGAAATGAGGCAATAATGACATTCTGAGCTAGGGATGTGGGAAGAGCCTCGGGGCTTCAGAGGCGAGGAGGGTCTTGTGCCGGGCAATAAGAAGAGCAGATGTTCAGTAACTAGAAGTTGCCCCACCCTCTAGATGGGTCATAAAGTTATTTCTGGTGATACCTCCCATTATGGGAAAGGCTACCTGCTTTTCCTTTTCAATATTATTTGAGTCTTTTTTACACCGAATGCGGGTGATCAATAAAGAAAAACAACTGTTTTCTTTCGGAGTTAGAATGTGTGAAACTGGATTGCCAGTTGGGTGTGGACACAGTGAACTGGAGATGTCATGTGACTGACCTTTGGGCCTGGCTGGTGCTGCTGTTACGCAACAGTGGTGTCCAGGTTTGAACTAGTGGTGGTGGGAAGTAAGCTGTGACACCCAAAGAGCCCTGCATGGTTGGTACCATCGGGCTGGGATGGGAGTACACGTCCTCGGGGGTGGGGTGGGGTGGGGTGAGTGGTGGATACTGCTGAGAAGACAGTCCTCCCGGAAGGAAACTCTGGACTATCTCTGCGGGCCTCCCTCTGGGTAGATGCTTTAGCGTCGCCCTCCCTCCTCTGCTCTACCCTTCCATCACTGTCATCTAATCCCACAACCAACTTCCTTCCAGCTCCACTGCCACGCAAGGCTTATCGCTTCACCAGTTTTTCTTTCTCTCCGTCTGCCCTTCCTGTTCCAGGCCTCAGCACTTCGTGTCTAGACTGTTACAGGAATTCCTGCGAGGTGCTGCTGCCTCCGGCCCACCCTCCCCACGATTCCCATGTTTTTTTTCTTAGTGTTTTTGTCATGTTGTTCTGCTAAAAACCTCCAGTAGGCCCTTTGCCAAGAATGTCTGGCTCTTTGTGGCCTGGCTTCACCTTTTAGCTCTACCATGCCTCAGAGTGAGTCCTCATCCTTCCTCGTCCACACCATGTGGTCGTTGTCGGCACTGCCTTTTGGTCTTGCTGTTCATCCTTGTCCCTGAACTAGACCCCAGGCTTCTTTCCACTCCAGCCAGATCCTCCTCTACATCGTTCGTCTTGTCTGCGCTCAGTATTACTGATACTGCTCGTTCGAATGTTTGGTCTCAGATAGTCCATGTCACTTGATTACTACTTGTCTCTTATCTCCTCAGATAGACTGTATATTCTCTTTGAAGCAGTGATCATGTCTTTTTTCTGTTTGGTGGTCTGCTGTTGCTTAGAACTGAATAAACCTAACGATGAATAGTAGGTCGCTCACCTGAAGGCAGCAGAGCCGTGCGGCTCTGGTACAGATCATAAACTGGAAAAACAGGAAAACTTGCCTCAGATTCCCCTTGGCTAGAAAAATTTGTCTTACTGTCCAGCTCACTCCTTCAAAGAGCGCCACCTGAAGGGTGTTCCTGGAAAGAACTTCCATTATTTTCAACATTTGCCAGCAGAACGACTGTGTGAGATGTTGTAAGTCTGGACAGAATTGAATGACGAGCACACAGAGCAGGTCGTCAGTCTCTGAATGTGGAGAAGGAGAAAAGGAACTGAGGGCGGAGCAGGTGCCAGGTCTGATTTGGAAGGCTATGAAAAGTTAGATAGGAGCGATAGCCTGTTTTGTTTTGTTGTGTGGTTTTTTTAATTCTCACACAAGGATATATTTATTGATTTTAAAGGGAGAGGGAGGAGAGAGAAACAAACATCAATTAGTTGCCTCCCATAAGTGCCCGACCAGGGATCAAACCCACAACTAAGTAGGTACCCTGACCGGAGACTGAACCCGTAACATTTTGGTGTGTGGGACGATGCCCCCACCAGCCAAGTCACCCTGGAAGTGGCCCGGTTTTAACCTTTGGAGTGGTAAGAGTTACGATGCAAAGATGCAGACTCATCCAAGTTGTCACAAGTGTCCTCTGTCTACAGGGGACTTCAGTCACTGTGAAAGGGCAGCCACCTGACCATCCTCCACTTCAGATTTTACTCCTCCCTTGCCATTATCTAGTTAAATTGAATTTTACTTCTTCTCCTTTTTAAACTAACGGTGCCCTTGCCTGCATTATTTTTTCCGTGGGGTGTATGACAGCCTGTCACTGTATGTCAGTGTACAAACTACTGCTGAACAAACGCTGTCGAAGCTTATTAACTCTTAGCAGGGTCTGGAGCAGTCACATCTTATGTGTCTTAATCCCCGTCCTGTGAAATTAATTCATTCAACAAGAATTTCCAGAGTGGCGTGCTAGGAGTGAACATGCCCATAAATTACCCTACGTAAAAATGGGAGGGAATAGATAATAAACAACAGGGTGGTATTATGGGAAAACTAACTCGGGGAAGTTTACTAGGAGTGTTGGGGGTGGGTAGTGCTTTAGGTGGTGACAAGCCTCCTGGTCAAATAACATTTGAGCAGAGGCTTCAGGTGAGTGACTCATGCTGGGATACACGTGGAAGGTAGATATAAATGCAAATAATACAAAAGTCACCCTAGTGCACAAGTGTCCTTACAAAGGTCAAGAGGCTGCCTAACCAGGCAGTTAAGGTGTGAGAGTGTAAGTTACCCAAGGGCAGAGGGTACAGGAGTGGACGTGGTGTGTTCTGTGTCTCCAGTGGATAGTCGCTTATCTCGTTTCAGTTTTTTAAGTTTAAGGGGAAGAACCATACCTACCCTTTCTCTGCATCCCTTGGCACTTAGCACATAGTAGGTGCTTGGTAAATGCTTAATGCATTTGTGCTTATTGAGGATTCAAGTGGTATTGCCTTAATTCTTTTTTTGTTTATATTGTGAAATTATGAGGTGGTTTTTGCTTTAGGTTGAATGTATAATTCTAAATGCTTTCCCTTTTTTAGGTGAGAAGCCATTCACGTGTGAAATCTGTGGCAAATCTTTCACAGCAAAGAGTTCTCTTCAGACCCACATCAGAATCCATCGGTAACATTATGCAGATGTGTCTCCCGTGTGGAGTCCTCATTCAGCCCTGGTGTTAGTGGGGTGACATGTGTTACCTGAATAGTCCTTTCCCCCAAAGTGTTACTGATAGAATTTTCTACTTTTATAATTTTAAAAAATTTGTTCAATAAAGAAATTCCTCAGGGAGGCAAAAGCATGAAAACTGATGCTAGCCAGCAAAAGTCTGCATTACTGATTTTATTTCATAAATTTTGATTTTGTCAGGGGACTGGTCCAAAGTTTAAATCTTCAATCAAAATAGGTATTAAATGTTTCCCAAATGAATGTTTTTGTTCACAAAACTTACTTCTAGATTGAATTTAACAGGTAACTAAGGGCTACTCATTTTAAGGATGAAATTAGTTGTATGTACTTACTTGGCCATTAGAATTAAAAAGTTGGCTGTAAAAACTAAAAATGAAAAGGAACTATATATGTAACATGTAAATACTTTCTTATCTGAAATAGATATGGCAGGATCATAAATTTTTATCAGATCTGGCCCAACCCCATCAACCACCCTTCCTGAGACACCACCCCCACACCTTTTAAAAAAACTAGAAACTGAAACCCATGGAAGTTGGGACTTGCTCCAAGTCCTGAAGTTAGCAGGAGAACCCGTGACCCTCAGTCTAGCTTTCCTCTGTCCTTGACTGTCTGTCCCTGTATATCAGGAAGTAATACATAGATCTTTCTGTTTTTAATATAAAACATGTTTCCTTTTAGAGGAGAAAAGCCATACTCCTGTGGCATATGTGGCAAATCCTTCTCTGACTCCAGTGCCAAGAGGAGACACTGCATTCTACACACCGGCAAAAAGCCTTTTTCCTGCCCCGAGTGTAACTTACAGTTTGCTCGCTTAGACAACTTGAAGGCTCACTTGAAAATCCATAGTAAAGAGAAACATGCGGCAGATGCCAGCAGTGTTTCCAGCAACAGTAATACTGAAGAGGTCAGGAATATTCTTCAGCTGCAGCCATATCAGCTCTCTACCTCCGGAGAGCAGGAAATCCAGCTTCTGGTAACCGACTCTGTACATAACATCAATTTCATGCCTGGTCCTAGCCAAGGAATCAGCATCGTTGCTGCAGAGAGCTCCCAGAATATGACTGCAGACCAGGCTGCTAATCTCACGCTGCTCACACAACAGCCAGAACAACTGCAGAATTTGATTCTTTCAGCTCAACAGGATCAAACAGAACACATTCAGAGCCTCAATGTGATTGAAAGCCAGATGGAACCCTCGCAGAGTGAGCCTGTGCACGTGATCGCCCTCTCCAAGGAGACCCTGGAGCATCTGCACGCCCATCATGAGCAAACAGGGGAGCTCCATTTAACAAGTGCTGCACATCCGGCCCAGCACCTGCAGCTGACACAGGAGTCTGCTCCACCCCCACCCAGCCACCATGTGCCCCAGCCCACACCGCTGAGCCAGGAGCAGAGCTGACCCGGAAACATGTTTGAATGCTCTACCAGTCCCTTCTCCATAAACCACCTGTAACCGAGTTGTGTGCTTGAAGTCAGGCTTCCTAAAATGCTCACTTATAGATCCTTACAGAGATGTGATAACTAGCCGACAGTCATAATGCTTTCCATCCAGGCAGGAAGATGCAAGATACATGTATCACGTCCTGTACATAGTACTGATGGGGATTTAGCATTTCACTGTCTTTGTGTGGGGGTATTGATTTGGACTTTTCCGTAAGTACTAAATATTCACAGCCACAGGTTATGATCTTGTTGACTTTCTCAGTTACAGTTTTTAGTTTTTCAGACAAAGGAAGTCATAGGTTGAATTGGGTAGAATGGCTAGTTCCACTTCCTCATTTCTCATCGGCAGCACATTTGCCTCCACAAGTTAGACCTGCAGTGATGTTTGATCTTCATGATAACATTTGAGCTTTCTTAATTGCCCTGGAATAAAAATATAATTAGTATAATTTGTGTTAAAAATACTCTGCTGAATTCTAATTGACCTCCAAAGATGGTGATCTGTGTATTATGACTGATAACTTTCTGGAGATAGGAACCTGTAAGCCGTTTTTATTGCAAAGCAGGTTAAATCCCACAAAATGGACACACTATTTTTAAAAGTAAATATTTTCTCATAATCTTAAAATCTTCAAGCCTCAGAGAATTAGTAGCCAGTATGTGTCTATTACTACCATACAATTTTAGGTAACAAGATTAAATGATGTTTTGTTTAGGTTTTTTGAGCCCGGCGTATTTTATTTTATTGAGTACTTTAACTGCTTTCTCTCAAGAAAACTGGTAGAGAACTTTTCAGAAAAGATGGTGGGCACTGCTACGTGTAAATTAACACCGCCGGTGGAGAGGAGGGCTTATCTGTCCTAAAGTTAACAGGATCATCACATCAGCTACTTGTTTTCTTGTTTTAGATGTCTTTGATTTCCACCAGAATCACATTAAGTTTGGGATTGAAAGTAACACATAATGGTTCAGGTTTGAGAGAAGATGAAACCAGCTTTCTAACATATTTGCCAAAATATATTTTGTTGTATATAATTCACAAAATTTCCAAAATGATTTATCTTAGATGTATCAACCAAAGTAATGTTAAATCAGATGTGACTAGAGCAAAAGTGTGATTTTTGCAGATACAGTTATGCCTTAAATATTATTTCAGGTTCTTGCCTTAGTCATTTAAACTATTTACTTAAACCTTATTCTTAAAATGCAAAGCTTTTCCCAGCTTTTCAAAGCCTACTGGCCCACATTTCTCCTGGATATAAATAGTATTCCACTATTGGGTTGGCCAAAAAGTTCATTTTTTCCATACAGTGGCTCTACTAGTACTTAGTCTTAACCTCATTGAAAGCAATTTTGTTCGATTGTATTGTGATAGCTGTCATATCAGTGTGCGTTAAAAAAAAAACCAAAATTGGTAAATTTTTGTACAGCCATTTTAATAGTGAAGATATTAGAAAATATGCAACATTTTCAGCTTATTAATGCTTTTTTATTTAAAGGTTAAAATGCAACTGAAATGCAAAAAGATTGTGCAATATATGGAGAAGGTGCTGTGACTGATCAAATGTGTGAAAAGTGATTTGTGAAGTTTCTTGATACTACTGATATTTTGGCCAAATAATTCTTTTCTGTCGGGCTGTCTTACACATTGGAAGATACTTAGCAGTGCCCCTGGCTTCTAGCCACAGAAGCCAATAGTGGGAGATGGCTGACACCTCAAAACATCCAAATGAATAAAGTTATCAGTGAAAATGAAAAATGTCTCTTTTTGGAAAAAACTAAACTAAACCAAAGCTTTTTGGCCAACCCAATAAATGAATTTTTAACTCACTCTACTCAATTATTCAGGAGTATAATCAGTCACATGACTGTAAGTCGCGTTTAGCTTTACGACAGTCTACCTCTGTGCTAAGAGAAATCTAATGTGAACCCCATGTGTAATTTTAAATTTTAGTAGCCATAATTTTAAAGAGGGGAATGAAATTAAGTTCAATAAAACAGTTTATTTAACCCAACCTTTGCAAAATAGTATCATTTCAGTATGTAATCAATATAAGAATGTATTAAGATATTTTACATCATTTTTTGCATATTGTCGAAATCTAGTGTGTCTTATATGCTACTGACACTCAGTTTGGATGCTAATGTTTATTGGACATGGTTGATCTGTATTTAGAGTTCATGCAACTTACAGTTGACACTATATATTCAGGTAGTTGAGGACATACCTTTTTTCCCAATAACTGAAATGAGTGTTGGTTTCTAAAATATATTAAAATTAATTAAAATTCAAACCCAGTTCCATGGTCACACTAGTGACATTGTGAGTTTTTTTTTTTTGTTGTTAAAGATTTTATTTATTTACTTTTGGAGAAAGGGAGGGAGAAAGAGAGGGAGAGAAGCATCAGTGTGTGGTTCACACACACGCACGCACGCGCGCTTGCGCTCCCAAGTGGGGACCTGGCCTGCAACCCGGGCATGTGCTGACTGGGAATCAAACTGGCAACCTTTTGGTTCGCAGGTTGCACTCGATCCACTGAGCTACACCAGCATGGGCAACACTGAGTTCTTGATAGCCAAATGTGGCTAGTGGCTCCACTGTACAGCACAGGCCTACCTGTTTCTAGTTTGAGAACCAGTATCAGCCATATCTTTTGGAAGAATTCTGGGTTATTTGACCAGCTGTGAAAGGGAAATGAGAAGTGATAGCTATACAAACCTATCCTGTCTTCTGTATCTCAAATATACATTACGCTCCTTTGAAGTCCAGAATTTTAAAGTTCAGTTACTACCCAAAGGAAGTGTCATGCACATTAATGTCACATTTCTCACTATTCTGGAGGCTAAAAGTCCTAGATCAAGGTGTTGGCAGAATTAGCTTATTGAGGCATCCTGGCCATCCATTCCTCCGTGTCTTCACTTGGTCTTCTCTGTATGTTTGTCTTCATCTAATAACGACAGCAGTCATAATGGATTAAGGCCCACCCCAATGACCACATTTAAACTTAATTACTCCTTTTAAAGGCCCTGTCTGCAAATACGCTCACATTCTGAGGTACTGAGGGTTAGGGCATCACTGAATTTATGGGGCACCATTCAGACTGTAACAACCTGCATCGAGTGTGTTGGGAAGCAGTGTCTGGGACACATCTGTAACCTACATGAAGCACATTTTACTTAATCTTCATGACATTGCTTTGAGGTAAGTAATATTATGGCTATTTTACAGATGAGAACACTGAAGCCCAAACGGATGAAGTCCATTGCCCAAGGGTACACAGCAAGTGGCAGAGCCAGAACTGGGGCGCAGGGCTGCGAGACCCCGCTCTGGCACTTCCACCAGACGGGCTCACCTTCACCCGTCTAAGGCTTCCTGCTGGATTTCTCTTTACATGTGATCCACTTAACGTAATAGAACCTTAGTGACTAAAATTGACGGTTTGCATCTGAAATTTCAGCATGTAATCATAAATTTTGTACTTAATAGTAAAAGTTATATAGTCTTTCTCCTGCAACACAAAGACTACTGTATTGTTAGTATTGTACCATTGATTTAAAGCTTAATTGAAATTTATCAATTAGATGAAAGTTACTAATACAGTGAAAATATCTTAACTTGAACCTCTCTGTAAGTGAGCTGTTTTATCCATCTTTTGAGGATATTTTACATTTAGGGCAGATTTTTATTTTTGCTATTCTAATTTAAGTATCGAGGTAAATTTTCATGCTCAGTTTCCAAACCAAAATAAGCCTAAATTTTAAAAAATTGAAAAACTGTCTTCATTTTGTAAATAAGCTTACAGGAATAACCTCTTTAAAAATCTCTCCTGCCTTCTTCCTATAAACGGCGTGTATAGGAAGAGTAACCCCTACAAGAAGCTGGAATGTCACAGCGATAGTTTATCTTGCTTTCATATTCTTTACATATAATTAAGTAACAAACACTTGCTGACTGGAATATATGTTTATCTACAATATAATCATTCTCACTTTTTAAAACCTTAGGAAAGCATTTTTTTTTTAATTTTGATTTTTTTGATTATGCCATTACAGTTGTTCTATTCCCCCCTTCATTCCCCTCCACCCTGCACCCCCTCACCCCCACCATTCCCCCCTTTAGTTTATGACCATGTGTCTCAAGTTCTTTAGATTCTAAATTTCCCATACTATTCTTGCCCCCCTATCTATTTTCTACCTACCGTCTACGCTACTTATTTTCTGTACCTTCTCCGCCCTTCTCCTCCTCCCACTCCCCTGTTGCTAACCCTCCATGAGATCTTCATTTCTATGGTTCCGCTCCTGTTTTAGGTGTCCACTTAGTTTGCTTTTGTTTTAGGTGTGGTTGTTAATAACTGTGAGTTTGCTGTCCTTTCACTGTTCATATTTTTTATCTTCTTTTTCTTAGATAAGTCCCTTTAACATTTCATATAATAAGGGCTTGGTGATGATGAACTCCTTGAATTTGATCTTATCTGAGAAGCACTTTATTTGTCCTTCCATTCTAAATGAAAGATTTGCTGGATAGAGGAACTTTGGAGGTAGGTCTTTGGATTTCATGACTTGGAATACTTCTTTCCAGCCCCTTCTTGCCTATAAGATTTCTTTTGAGAAATCAGCTGACAGTCTGATGGGAACTCCTTTGGTGACTGTCCCCTTATCTCTTGCTGCTTCTAGGATTCTCTCCTTCATTTTAATCTTGGCTAATGTAATGATGATGTGCCTTGGTGTGTTTCTAGTTGGGTCCAACTTCTTTGGGACTCTCTGAGCTTCCTGGATTTCCTGGAAGTCTATTGCTTTTGCCAGATTGGGGAAATTCTCCTTTATAATTTGTTCAAATAAGTTTTCCACTGTTGGCTGTTCCTTTCCCCCTTCTGGTACCCCTATAATTCAGATGTTGGAGCATTTAAAGATGTTCTGGAGGTTCCTAAGACTCTCATTTTTTTGAATTCTTGTTTCTTCATATTTTCCTGTTTGGCCATTTTTTTCTTCCTTCTGGTTCACTCCCTTGATTTGAGTCCCAGTTTCCTTTTCATCACTGTTGGTTTCCTGTGCAATTCCCTTCATTTCAATTAGTTTAGCCTTCCTATGTTCCTCTAATTTGTGACTAAAATCAACCAGTTCTGTGAACATCCTGATAACCAGTGTTTTGAACTGTGCATCTGAAAGTTTTGCTATTTCTTCGTCGCTTAGAGTTATGGGCTCTGGGGCTTTGAGATCTTCTTGAGCCATTTTTGGTCTTTTCACACCCTTTAAGTATGAGGAGCTGAGCCTTAGGTGTTCATCAGGGCAGGGCCACTCAGTCGCTGGGTTGTGATGCTGTATGTGGGGGCGTGGTCAGAGCGGGGAAATGGTGGCCCCCTCTGTTGCCTCTCGCTGCTGGGGCCTGCGGCCTGCTAGGTCTGTCTCATCACCCACCCCCTTGCTGGTCTATCTGAGCACGAATGTGCGACCACAGTCAACCCGTTGCCCTGCGCCCTCGCTGGGTCTGCTGGTCACTCACTGGGTTCACCCGTTGCAACCCCAGGGCTGGGATCCATGCGCCTGAGTCCGTCTGACTGAGTTTTCCTGTGCAACCCCGCTCCGCCAGCTGCTGGCTTCACCCCTCTTACCGGTCAGGCTGAAGAATTCGTTGTTATCAGACTTCCAAAAAGTTCAATTTTCTGTGTTCTGGCTATGTTTTCTGTTGCTAATATTTTGTTGTCTCTAAACTTGGTTGTGTGAGAAAGCATGGCGTCTCCACCTATGCCTCTATCTTGGCGGGCAGGAAAGCATTTCAATTAAAGTTCATTCACCCCTTAGTCGGATAGAGCGTCTTCCAGCTACACCAAGGTGTGGCTTTGATCCCTGGTCGGGACACACACAGGAATCAGCTAATGAATGCATAAGTAAGTGAAAGAACAAGTGAATGTCTCTCCTCCCCCTCACTATCTAAAATCAATCGATACATTACAATTTTAAGCTCATTCAATCACATTTTGAATTCAAATGTAGGAGGAACTTGAACACATTTAGGTAACATTTACAAGACAGCTTGCCTTTGTTTTTTTTTAAGTGACACGTAGTACCAAATCCATATAGAAGGGGGAAATGTGAGCAGCAGTAGGTCAGAGGACTTTCCTGGTTTTACAGCATAGACTTACTATTTATTTTGAATTCTTGAGATCCATAATATTACATTCTTTTAAATATGGATTTGAAGATTTTCTAAAAGATTAGTTAGGCTCTTTTTAATTTTTTTTAGTTCATTTATATACGTTTATCCTTATTAGATGAAAGGTTAAACAGAAGCTCCCTTAGGCTAAAATGTAATTAAAGATAATACATTTTTTAAATTCATCTCAGATAATTCTAGAATGATTAAGTGGTTTGTGGACAAGTTTTTCCCATAAGCTTAGTGTTTGATGAGCAAAGCATTCTCACGACAAAAATGCAGAGAAGTATTTGCACTGATCCTGAACCCGGTTGTATTTTTAATCTTGGCAGCCTCTCAGAGCAGAGGCCCTTGGGTTATCTCGGAGCCTGTGCAATCATGCTGCTTTGACTGCTGGGGAAGGTACTTGAATAAAAAGCAGTGCAAAGGGGGATAAGGTTGCCAGGAGAGGGAAAGGATGAGGCTCTCAAATTTGTGATTCATTCATGTTACCGCCAAGAAAGCTGGGAGTCACTATTGATAGAACCCTTCTCACCACCCCTACCCCCAGCCCATCACCAAGTTACATCAGTTTTTCTCTCAAATTCTGTTTTTGAATCTGTCCACTTCTCCCATCCCCACTGCTGTACCATGTGCTCTTGCCTGGACTCCATCAAGTTCTGACTGACCCTTTCCACCCTCCCCCAGCCCCTTTCTCCACTGGGAGTGGTTATTTGGGCTCACCATTGTGCCCTTAGCATCAAGCTAATGAGTGGATATTGTGTTATCACGGCAAATATTATCATGGCTCTGCTCTGTTTAAAATTCCTCTGTAGTTTCTCGTTGCACTTAATAAAAAATTCCCAATCCAGCTCCCTCTTAGGCCCCTTCCCCACCTTCCAGCCACCCTGGCTTCCTTGCTGTCTAACCACCACCACCCCTCCCCGCCCCGCTCCTTCCCACACACCCAATTTCCTGCCTTAGGGCTTTGAGGCAGGCATTTTCTCAGCCTTGAAAGGTTTCTGCCCGTATTCTCTAATTTCTGTTCGTCTATCAGAATTCGGTACAAGGGTCACTTCAGGGAGGCCCTCCCTGACCCTCTAATCTCAGCCATCCACCCTGTCATATCTGTTAATAACATTCTACACGTTTGGCTCAGTTCATAACTATTTCTACATCAGGACTCTGGTCACCCTGCTGCCACGGCTCCCAGCCCAGGACCACGGATGTGTGTGACCACACTGACCTACAGGTAGATGCAGGGTGTTAGACATGCCACCTGCCATGCTGGGGACCTAATTCTAGCTTCAGGCTCAGGAAATGAGCGGCTCGGAGTGAGGTAAGGATGACCTGGAAGAGAGACTCAACATGGTATGAGTCAGAAGAAATGGATCCTGTCTTAATGGCTTGGGTTTTTGGCCTGGGCCCTTATGCTGGCAGTATCATTTACAAAAACACTGGAATGGGATTCTTTTAAAATGGACTTTTCATGCAACAGCCACTTATTTGGTATAATAATATGAACTGGCCAATGTTATTGTCTCAGTATTTTCAGGTCTGTATACAGCACATATAGGTCATGACTCAAGATTCTAATTAAGAACAGAAATACTGGTAGATAAATAATAAATTTATTCTTTTAGTTTTAATTGCAGTCATTTTTTTTCTTTGAAGAAACTCTTTAAGTAGAACTCGCTTTGGGTCTTCTAGTCTATACATTTCTTACAGTCACCAACATTGAATAACAGGATTTTAGGGCTGAGGAGGTTGAGTAATTATAGTTTCCATTCAGATATGACAAGGCAGCCAGTAGTTGGTGACTTTTTCAAGGTCACAGCAGGCTAGTGTGAAAAAAATCTGGAATCTGACCAGGCCTAGGTTACAGATGAACATATTCCTCATTACTTTATGCTCCTGTGTGTGTCTTTAATTAGCATAAAGCGAACCACCAGGTCAGCACTTTAGTATTGGTGAAGTCATTATTCTGCAATCTTTTTTAAAGGCAAATTTTAGCATTTGTCACTCAGAGTCACATAATGCCGGCTGCCATTGTTTAGCTGCAACTGCGTCACCGAGCAGTCGAGAGCCAGAGCCTGCTAGGCCTTCACGAATGGGCTGAATCTGAGCAGCTGCTTGTTTACCGTCTGCTCATGAAGGGGACATGGGGTGATTCTAAAAGCCTGGTAACCCCATTTAGAGTGGACTTTAGAATGCTTCTTACAGTATGTACTTAAATATGGGGCATCTGATGTTTGGCAAGTTCATTTCAACCTAAGGGACCAGTCACACTCAGGAGCCAGGATGGGCTGGGAGGCTGCCCTAGTTTCCTGAGCGTGACCTGGCGGAATGCCCTGCCTCTCCTGGCAGGCAGACATCCCCCTCGCCCCTCTTCCCCAGCTGGCATTCAGCTCAAGCAGCCGGCAGTGAGTGTTCACGTCTTACTGGGTCTTGCAGGGTTTCCAGACGAAATGCAAAGTGAAAATGCAGAGAAACGGAGAGCCACAGGGCACCCAGCTCTCCCAGATCCCTGGGTCTCAAGGAGAGCAACCCTGCCACTGACTCCTGTTTTGTTGGTGTTGCTAGTGTAACAGTGCCACTTGCTCTAAATTAAAAAAACAAACAAACAAACAAAAACCAGCTTCTTATAATGCCAGCCTTTCAATGTGTCACATTGTGTCAACACTAGTGTGGTGGAGCCAGACAGACCTGGGCCCTACCCCAGGCCTGCCACTTGCTGTGTAACTTGGTGCAGGTCACACAGAACTTCCCTCTCTCTGTTTCCTTTGCCATGAAATGGGATTGTTGTGATGACTGAGGTTGGGGGGAGTGCTTACAGTCAATGCCCAGTAAATGAGAAGTGATGTTTTGTTAATATTAACTAGTTGGCCCTGACTGGTGTGGCCCAATGGATTGAGTGCCGACCTTCAAACGAAAGGTCACTGGTTCGATTCCCAGTCAGGGCAGGTGCCTGGGTTTCGGGCCAGGTCCCCAGTTGGGGGCGCATGAGAGGCAACGGATCCATGTGTTCCTCACACATTGATGTTTCTCTCCCTCTTTTTCTCCCTCCCTTCCCCTCTCTCTAAAAGTAAATAAATAAAATCTTTAAAAAATACTTGTATAAAATATTACCTAGTTAACTATTAACTAGTTAAAATATTAACCTTGGACAAGTGCCTTTACATTCACAGTTTCCTTATCTGAAATACGAGGTAACAGCCCAAAGTTCTCTCAAGCTCCTTTCCCCGCTGACCGTTCAGTAGGTCCTCAGTCCAAGGCATTTTTGAATACTGGACAGCTAGTCTCCCACACACCCCTCCCATTCGCCCGTCTCAGTAGTGATCTAACACCACCACCACTCCCTCACACACACACACACACACACACACACACACACACACACACACACACACGACCCTGTCTGCCCCTCACTTCTCACGCCGCTGTGGAAGCTGTAGATTGCGGAGTTCTCAGGACTTAGTCCGTGCCCACTGCTCGCACGACCGGTCCAAGGGCAGACTCGTCGCAGGGGACTGGAGCCTCGAGCTTGAATCCCATGTGGGGCGCCGGGGCGGTGGTAAGAGATGAGTACAGCGCAGAGTTTCCGGCGCCACCTATGGACCCGCCAACTCCGACAAACTTCGCGTCCAGCGCCCTGAGACAGCCCCCCCGCAGCCAGTGCTGCGCAGGGGTGCGTGGCCTCGCCCTCCCGGGAAGGGTTAGCTTTGCGGGCGCAGGCTCCGGCAAGGAGCCTGGCTCTGTGGGTGCGCTGCCGGGCACTCGGCGCCCCAGTTCCCGGGATCCTCGGCCCCCGCCAGGCTGGGCCCTGGATCTCCGGCCCCCAAGCCGAACTCCGCATCTAAGGTGCCACGCCTTCCGGCACCACTCAGCAGGCCTGGGCGGGTCTCCGTCTGCCCAGAGCCCCGGGACGCGGGGTAATGAGATGCTAATGAGCGCGCATAAAGCCTCTTTGCTCCGAGTTCTGAGCGCCCGGCGCCAAAGTCCACACCCAAGAAGAACTAACACCCGGCGGGGCCAGGCAGACCCCGCGCGCCGCCCCGGCGCCCGGCACTTTCCACCGCTCCTCCTCCACCGCTCCTTCCCCCGCCCCCGCCCTCCCACGAGCTGGGCAGGAAGCGGCCCTTCGGCTCCGGAGCCTCGGGGTAAGTTGTTCAGCTGAGCCAGCTGTGGGTGCCTGCTCCTGGTGGGGCGGGGATGGGGGCGGGGGAGCGTTTCTGGGGAAATGCGACCCCAGGTGCTCGGAAACCCCTCCTGGCCTGTCCCGCCCGTGACCCTGCGCCCGCGCCGCTCAGCCCCTCTGCAGACTTTTTGGTCCAAAGTGTGAGTACCTCCCACCGCACCCCCGCCGCCCGTGGTCCAGCTCCTCTCCGTCCTTCCAGACCACTCCAGCCCTCTCGTATCCTTAGTCCTGCCGTTTCCAGGCTGGGTCACCCCTCCCTCTCCCATTGCTGAGGTCTTCTTTCCTCTTCCCCACCCTCGGAGACCTCTGCCCTTTCTGATGGTTCGTCAGCCCTAGTCCAGGTGATTGGCAGCAAACAGCTTTAGTCTCCTCTGCCTGGTCTGGCATGCTGGTCTCAGGCTGGGACCCGTGGAGTGGCCGAGGGGGTGGGGGTATCGGTCCCAGGGACCTCTGCCTAACGATGCTACGCATCTTTCCTAACTCCCCCAACGGCAGCCTCATCCTCCAATTCCACTAGGTCCCAGCATGAGAAAGCCCCCTCCGGCACCCCTCAATTTGCGTAGGGGCCTGAGAGAGGGAGAGGGGGACAAAGGGAGGCCTTGTTTCGGGAAATTCCTGGGCGAGCGCATCGGAGCCCACAGGGATGGGGCGGTTCTTGGATGCGGGTGGAAGAAAGCTGGGAGGGGCAAACCCGGCTGCTGTGGCCCCCCCACCGCCCTCGAGGCCCCCTGGAGATGGCAAGGCTCACAGGGGAAGTGTTTTTGACCACAGTGAGTCAGAAATAAACCCAGTACTCCCTCACCCAGTAAGTCATAACATGCAACATCCTCTGGCTGTTGAGGTAGTTTGGGTGGTGAGAAGTGGAACTGTCACAGTCACAGTCACAGTCTGCCTCTCTCCTCGTCAGGAGGAAATCACCAGGCTAAGGAGGAAGCATTTGCCCTTGGTGTAAGACACACCCCTCACCGGGTGACACCGCGTGACACCGACGCCATCAAGGGGCAACTGACATAGGGAGGTGTGAGTTGAGATGGGGCAGTGTCTGTGCCCAGCAGCTGGGGTTGCAGGTATTTGGTTTGCCCCTGTCTGCGCCACAAGGAAAGTTCTCTTTCTGGCTAACCTGCCCGTTCCATATCTAGAAATTACTCCACACCCTGTTTTCTGCGCTGTGGGCCCTAGTGATGGTGCAGGGCTTGGAGATCCCTGGACAGGGAGACTGAACTGGTGGCTCCCTCGCTTCTTGTGTGCCCTCTGTGCCCAGGACTGCTGATGTTTTCATTCCCATATTGGGCAGAGTTCACTCAGAAGGGATAGCAGCTGCCTCTGGAGCAGACGGGGAGTGTGAGAAAGGAGCAAAGCCAGTTAGGGTTGGCCCTAAGCTCCCTGGGGGCACCAGCCTGCTTTCCTCTCTCCGCCTTCTTTTTCCCTTCCCCCTTTCTCAAGTCTCCTCCCCTTCTCTCTCCTCTTCTCCAGCAGCCACGTGCTTCTGCCCAGCTGTTCCCATCCCTGAAAGACCCAGGGGCTGCCATGGCCTCACCCACTTCCACCAATCCAGCACATGCCCACTTTGAGAGCTTCCTGCAGGCCCAGTTGTGTCAGAATGTGCTAAGCAGCTTCCAGGGGCTATGCCAGGCTCTAGGGCTCGAGTCTGGTGGAGGGCTGTCTCAGTACCACAAGATCAAGGCCCAGCTCAACTACTGGAGCGCCAAGGCGCTGTGGGCCAAGCTGGATAAGCGAGCAGGCCAGCCTGTCTACCAGCAGGGTCAGGCCTGCGCCAACACGAAGGTAAATACACAGTGGCTGGGATGGGGGTTGGAGAATCTGGAATGGGAGGGAGGAGTCAGAGAAGGGAGATGAAATGCCACACCCACACTGCCTTGCGTGTTCACAGTGCCTGGTGGTGGGCGCTGGACCTTGTGGTCTTCGGGCTGCTGTGGAGCTGGCACTGCTGGGGGCCCGTGTGGTACTGGTGGAAAAGCGCACCAAGTTCTCTCGCCATAATGTGCTCCACCTCTGGCCCTTCACCATCCATGACCTTCGGGCACTTGGTGCCAAGAAGTTCTGCGGGCGTTTTTGCACAGGCACCCTGGACCACATCAGTGAGTACCACCCGGTGGCCTGGAGGGGCTGGGTCTAGAGACAGGCCAGTGGGGGCTGCTGTGCCAGCCAAGAGGCAGAGTGGACAAGATTCACTTCCTCTAGGTGATGTTTAGGACTCAGGTTTTTTATCTGTAAAATGGGCAGTTGGATAGAGTGATCCCTAAGACTTCCAGCTCTGACCAGGTGCACACTGATACCTGGGGGGACCCTGGGTCTCTGTTCCTGATGTCCTCTCCCTTCCAGGCATCCGACAGCTTCAGCTGCTTTTGTTGAAAGTGGCATTACTGCTAGGGGTGGAAATTCACTGGGGTGTCACTTTCACTGGCCTCCAGCCCCCTCCCAAAAAGGGTAAGTACTTCTTTGCTCCTGAGAACCACCATCTGCCAAGTGCATTTTGGCCTGTGGAAGAAAAACAGTGGGGTTGGGACTCAGCAGAGACTCCCATTCTAAAAGGGTGGCCTTGTGCAAACCTCTCTGAGCCTCATTTTGAGCATCTGTAAAGTGGGAGTAATATCCCCTTCCTTCTGTACGTTCCATAGAAGTTGTGAAGGTAAAATTTGATAAACAGTCATTGCTTTCTAAACCGTAATGCCCTTCAACACATTTATTTAATTATTTTACTGGCTTGTCCTGGAAACACTGAGGCCCCTGCAGACTTCCACACCTTTATGCCTCTCACACCCTTTGCCCCAGGGAGTGGCTGGCATGCCCAGTTCCAGCCCAGTCCCCCTGCCCAGCTGGCCAACTATGAATTTGATGTCCTCATCTCTGCTGCTGGAGGTAAATTCATCCCTGAAGGTGAGTGATCCCTTTCCTAGAAGAGTTAGCACTTGAGCTTCTCCTGGGCCTTTCTAGGCTTTTGCAGTTTTCATCCTCCTGCCACTGCCCACCTGCCCCCACCCTCTCTAGGCTTCACAGTGCGGGAAATGCGAGGCAAACTGGCTATTGGCATCACGGCCAACTTTGTGAACAATCGCACCGTGGAAGAGACGCAGGTGCCCGAGATCAGCGGTGTGGCCAGGATCTACAACCAGAGCTTCTTCCAGAGCTTGCTCAAAGCCACAGGTCAGGACCCCTCTCTGTCATAGAGGTTCCCCTCCTCCTGCCTGGCTTGGGGCTGGCACTTTGCCATGAAACATGGCAGGTCTTGGAAACCTTTCACAAAATGTGTGAAATTTTGCTTTCACACATTTTGCTTTCGAATTTCGACATTCAAATTTCAGGTGCAGCTCAGCCTTCAACTGCTGTGTGGACTGGGGAAGCCCCTCCTTGGGGCCTTAGTATGTGTGTGCACCTCTTACATTCAAGGGGGTACGGCTGCCCAGTGGATGCTGGTTCTGATCTGTGGGCCTTGTAGGACTGGCCAGACACAGACCGGCTGCTGGGCAGTGCCAATGTGGTGCCCGAGGCTCTGCAGCACTTTGTGCTTTGCTTTTCACACATTTCATTTTGAATTTGACATAAATTCAAAATGAAATTGGAACTTCAGGAAGATGCCCTATGTTTATTTTGACTTTGCACTGCCACGGCCCTTGGGGTGTGCACACTCTGGTTCCAGAAGTCAGGCGGTGATCTGTAAGCATGTGACCAAGTGGTGCAGGTCTCCCAGCTGCTGCCCCACCCAAGATCCTTTGCTCCACGTCCTCCGGCCTCCTAGGCCTGGGACAGATGGCCTATTGTGCCACTGGAACTCCTGGGCTTCTGTATGGGGCACCCACTGTAGTCACAGCTGAAGTGTTTGCAGAGGTGACACATAATGAAGAGGTGACACACAATGAGGAGGAGACACATGTCCTGCCCCTACCCTTCCCCCCCAGGCATTGATCTGGAAAACATTGTGTACTACAAGGACGACACTCACTACTTTGTGATGACAGCCAAGAAGCAGTGCCTGCTGCGTCTGGGGGTGCTGCGTCAGGTGAGGCAGGCCCGGGCAGGCAGAGGCTGGGCAGTGGGCCCTGGGAGGGGAGGCGGGTCCTGGACATAGTCTGCCCCTCCTCCACCCTTGGTGTGGAGGGAGCCTGTCCCGCCCTTGCCCTTCCCCCCCACCCCAACAAGCTCCCCTCTTCTGGGATCTACGCAGAATCACATTCTGGGCTGAACACCTTATACCAACCGTAGGACTACAAATGTGAGCTCCAGGGGAGCAGGAGTTTTGTCTCTCTCTCTTTTGCTTGTTGATTATTCCCAGTGCCTAGAATGATGCCTGGCATGTAGTAAGCACCCAATAACTATTTGCTGAATGAACTAGTTGAACTACTACTATATACTAGGTACTCTGTTGAGAGCTTTATATGCATTCTCACCAAATTCTCATGAGTACCTTGAGATGTTAGGTGTGTTTTCTCTAAATCGGACTCTGAGAAGTTCAGGGACTTGTCCAGAACAAGTGTGTGACAATGGCAATGGTCCTGGGCCTCGGGGGCAGGGTGGGGCCTGGGACCCCCAGAAGGAGGGTGAGTGATGAGGAACGTCCTGCAAAGCAGGACGTTCAAATTTCAGGTGCAGCTCAGCCTTCAACTGCTGTGTGGACTGGGGAAGCCCCTCCTTGGGGCCTTAGTATGTGTGTGCACCTCTTACATTCAAGGGGGCAGGGCTGCCCAGTGGATGCTGGTTCTGATCTGTGGGCCTTGTAGGACTGGCCAGACACAGACCGGCTGCTGGGCAGTGCCAATGTGGTGCCCGAGGCTCTGCAGCGCTTTGCCCAGGAAGCTGCTGACTTCGCTACCCATAGCAAGCTCGGGAAGCTGGAGTTTGCTAAAGACGCCCACGGGCGGCCTGACGTCTCTGCTTTTGACTTCACAAGCATGATGCGGGCAGATAGCTCTGCTCGTGTGCAAGAGAAGCATGGCGCCCGCCTGCTGCTGGGGCTTGTGGGAGACTGCCTGGTGGAGGTGAGGGGTCAGGGTTCCCTGGTTGGGGGAGGGTGAAGACTCTCTGGTACTTCGAAAAACAGGGACTCCTTTTAAGGAGGCACAAGGGTTTGTGGTTGGGAAGGAGGGTGGAAAAGGGTTTCCCTGTCATGAGAAGGAGCTAAGGGCTGCTTGATGTGGTGAGGGGCCTCCTGCTATGACCTGGGGGCGTTTGGGCTTGGACACTCCAGTTGGACCCTGAGATGCTTCCTATCCTTCTGACCCTGTAGCCCTTCTGGCCCCTGGGCACTGGAGTGGCCCGGGGCTTCTTGGCAGCCTTTGATGCCGCCTGGATGGTGAAGCGGTGGGCAGAAGGTGCTGAGCCCCTAGAAGTGCTGGCAGAGCGGTGAGCCCTGAGTTGGGGTGGGGGGGTGGGTAAGGGCTGGCTATAGGATGAGTGGATGCAGAGAGTGGGGCTATTGGGTGAAGAGATGGGGGCATGGACAAAGGAGAATAAAAGCAAGACCTGGCGGTTCTTGAGGGGTGGGTGCTGATGGGCAAACTCTGACTCGGGTCCATGACCCCCATCATCACAACTTCCCCCGCCAGGGAGAGCCTGTACCAGCTCCTGTCACAGACATCCCCAGAAAACATGCACCGCAATGTGGCCCAGTACGGGCTGGACCCAGCCACCCGCTACCCCAACCTGAACCTCCGGGCTGTGTCCCCTAATCAGGTCAGGCCTCCTGGCACCCCCACCGGACTTCCCAGGTTGGGCCTTCCCTCTAGCCCTACCCTAGGAAGCCCCTCCCCCATGGGTCAATGGGGTTGTGTGGTCAGCCTGCCTCAGGACCTGAAAGGGGCTACCTTAGGTACGAGACCTGTATGACGTGATGGCCAAGGAGCCCGTGCGGAAGAGTGACAAGACTGACTCAGGAAAGCCTCACACTGGTAAGCAGGTCTCCTCCAGGGCCATGTCCAGCATATTCACCAACCAGCGAGACTTCCGGAGCAGCTGCCGCCTTGGGGTGCCGGCACACTGCTGGATGGTGGAGAAGTTTGGGGCGTCCTGGAGAGTGGAGGGCTAGTGGAGCACTCAGCAGCAGCTCTTTGCCAGTGTGGGCAAGTGTTGCAGCATTTCAGTAACCGCCATGTCCACAGCAGCTGGATGGCAGCCGTGCCGCTCTGTGCTCGGCTGTTCTTCCTGACCCTCCAGCCTTGCAGATTCCAAACACACCTTTCCTTTGAGCCTTTAACAGTGATTCCACCTAACTTGATTCATTCCCTCACTTTATTCCAGCAAGAGACTTATTTTTTAATGAGAAAACTGGGATAGATGTAGCACTGACAGTGTTAGGTCGGTGCCCCAGTCAGGGTGGGGCCCCACCTCCACCTCCCACCCAGCCCGCGCACTCGACAGCTCAGCTCTCTGAGCCTGGGGACTGGGGCACAGCACAGCTGTTCCTCCCAGGGTCAGTGGGCACACAGGAGGAACTGCTACGCTGGTGCCAGGAGCAGACTGCTGGGTACCCTGGTGTCCATGTCACCAACCTTTCTTCCTCTTGGACCAACGGGCTGGCTCTGTGTGCCCTGGTGAACCGGCTGCAGCCTGGACTACTGTGAGTTATGAATTAGGGTTGGGGTCCCTGGCAGACCACGCCTCCCTTTCAGGCCCCTGCCCCTCCCTCTACTTTGGGCAGTATGGAACTGTGAGGGGATCACTGCAGGAGTTAGTATACCCAGTTGAGTCCCAGTGCCACCACTTTTGCCCAAGTCACTTCACCTCCCTAAGGACAGTATTCCTGTCTTACTCTGCCTGCATGCCTACTTGCCCGGGAATATTGTAAGAATCAAATGCATTCAGTAGGGACAGCTTTGTGAGCAGTAGAGATCCCCAAAGCCAGAGGTTGTCATTGGGTAGTGGTGGTGATGGTGTAGCACAGAATAACCCTTCCTGCCTTCTGCATTTGTGCCCCACCCCAGCCGCCCCTCCCACAGTACTCTCTGCCCACCCTCTCCCCCTTAGATGGGATCAGGTTCTGCTCTCCCATTGGCTTCTCTCTGATACCCTGTAGGGAACCCTCGGAGCTGCAGGGGATGGGGGCTCTGGAAGCAACCAGCTGGGCACTGAAGATAGCAGAGCATGAGCTTGGCATCACCCCCGTTTTGTCTGCACAGGCAGTGGTGGCAGGAAGTGACCCACTGGGCCTCATTGCCTACCTCAGCCACTTTCACGGTGCCTTTAAGAACATGCCCCACAACCCAGGTAACCTGGAGACTGGGGCAGTGGTGGGGTATGGTGCATGTGTGCATGCATGAGAGGAGAGGGTGCCCTCTGAGGAACAGCCTGGGAGAGGTGTCCTTTTGGGCTGGAGTGTAGCCGTCTATTCTGGGGGCACAGCATAGGTCTTCCATCTGCCTCAACACACTCCAACTCTCCCTGTAGGCCCTGCCAGCCAAGGCTCTCCAGCGACCCCCAGTGCTGTACTATTCCTTGGCAAACTGCAGAGGACCCTGCAAAGGACCCGGGCCCAGGTGGAGTCCAGGCAGAGTTGGGGCTGGGCAATGGGTTCCTAGTGAAGGCCTCTGGGCTCAGAGCCCCATGCTGAGTGTAGGACTTTATTACAGGAAAACGGGGAGGATGCAGGTGGCAAGAAGCTACGCCTGGAGGTAAATACATGAAAAGGCCAGATAGCCCCATGTTCTGGTCCCTTCCCCGGAACACCTTCCCAGGTCTTACCCCCGTAAGGTCGTCCTTTGACCCCCCCCCCATCCAATCCCTTCTTAGTCTCACTCCCCCTCCCTTCCAGCCCTATTTATCTGCCCTCGTCCACTCTCCAGCTGACCCTGCCACTCTGCCCTCCAGCCTGAGCACTTACCTCCTTAGGTAGAGCCTGAGACCCCACATAAGGAGGAGCCACTAGTCCCAGAGTCTGATGTTCCCCTGACCCCCCCCTCACACCACCAGGAGGTAAGGAGGGGGGCCCTGCCTGCAGGAAGAGGCCTGAGGTCAGGGAGGGGTTTCAGGGGTAGGGAAGGACTATGTGGCTGACCTGTGGCACGGGGATCCATACAGGCTGGTAGTGAGGACCTGTGTGCACTTTGTGGGCAACACCTCTACATCCTGGAACGCGTGTGTGCTGATGGCCATTTCTACCACCGGAGCTGCTTCTGCTGCCGTATCTGTGAGGCCACATTGTGGCCAGGTGGCTACGGACGGCATCCAGAAGATGGTGAGTAGGCCCAGGAGGCCTCAACAGGAACTCTGGGCATGGCCAGTAGTGTTTGAAGAAACTGGAAGGTGGAGGGGACTGGGCTGCTGGGCAGGAGGTGGAAACAGGCTGACAACATCTTCCTCTGAGCTCATGCATACCCCCATCTCCCCCAGAGCCCCAAATGGGGTTCTAAGGAACCAGGAGACTAATAGGAACTCACCCCTAAGTCCTGCTGCCCCCACCCTCCCAGAGAAGCTGTCTCGGGGCACTGTATTGCCTATACCTGACATCTCTTCCCCCTCTCCACCATTCCCAGGACATTTCTACTGCCTCCAGCACCTGCCCCAGCCAGACCACAAAGAGGATGGCAAGGACAAAGGCCCTGAGACTCAGGTTAAAGCTATGAAAGTGTGTTGGGGGTGGGAACAAGGAAAGGGGTCTCCAAGCCCAGCAGACTTTGCTGGGGGTAACTGAATGCTCTCCACTAGAATGTAAGTTCCATGAAGGCAGGAATTTCTGTCGTTTTGCTTATTGCTATAACCTAAGTGGCTAGAATAATGTCTGACAACAGAAAATGAATTCTAGGGCCCACATTTGTCTAAAGGGACAGTCTCAAGCCCACACTGGGCAGGTCACTGACCAAACCACATGGTGGCTTTTCTAGGACCTCCTCACACCAGGTGAGATGAACATGCCGTCCAGCCCCTCGACTCCCACAGCCCCCCTGAAGGGGGCTAGTCCCACCCCAGTCCCCAAGCCTCCCCGTCAGCTGATCCGCCTGTCCAGCCAAGAATATCAGCGGTTGTCCTCCCTTAACCTGACCCCTGACTCGGAAATGGAGCCTCCACCCAAGCCCCCCCGCAGCTGCTCTGCCTTGGCCCGCCAGGCACTGGAGGCCAGCTTTGTGGGATGGGGAGTGCCAACCCAGAGCTCTCCAGGTAACTGCTCTGCCCAGATGTGCTGAGCCAGGGCACGGAGGGGCGGGTGGTACTAGGGTTCCTGAAGGGGAATGGGAAGGGAGGTTGTGGAGATCCCAGGCCATGTCTACGTCTCTGCTCAGTTCTTATGGCCATGGAGAAAGAAGAAGAGGGAGGAAGTCCCTCCTCCAGTGAAGAGGAAGAGGAAGAGGAAGATGTGGCTTTGGACTCAGACATGGAACAGGTGATTGGAAGGAACCTGGCCATCTATTCTGCCCAAGCCAGCATGAATCCACCAAACACATCCCGCCCCCACCACAGGGGAAGCCTACAGCTGGCTCCCTTCTCTGAGCCCTGCTCTTGGAAGGTCTTCTCCCCCAGTCTGACTCTTCATTCATTCATTCATTCATTCATTCATTCATTTAAATCTGACTTATTCTTACCTCCAAGCCTCCGTCTTTTCTACCAGAACACACCCCACTTCCAGCCCAGGTTATTTTTGGCCTCTTCCAAACAAAGCTTCCCCAATCCCTATCCATCGAGAGGCCAGGCCCTGACCCTGACTGGTCTGACCCTGCCATAGGCTCTGCTGACCTTGGCCAAGAAATCAGGCACCATGGACAAGTATCCAACATGGAGGCGGACACTGCTGCGCCGCGCCAAGGAGGAGGAGATGAAGAGATTCTGCAAGGCCCAGGTAAGGTTCAGGGGTTGCCAAAAGTTCTGACAGAGTCAGAGTTGTGAGACTGGGGATTGGAGCACCTCCAGTGCTCCATTCTTAAACAATCCCAAAACTCCTGGGCCTCTTGTCTTGGACTCCTCAGGCCATTCAGCGGCGACTAAACGAGATTGAGGCTGCTCTGAGGGAGCTGGAGGCTGAGGGAATGAAGCTGGAGCTGGCCTTGAGGAACCAGAGCAGTGAGTGAGGATGGGGAGGGATAAGCGAGGATACCCCTGCACCTCCTGGCACTGCAGTCAGCCTCCAGTGACCCCTCCAACCTGCAGGCTCTGGCCGCCCAGCAGGCTCCGTTCCTCACGCTCAGGACTCCTAGGACCCTGGGTGGAGGTCTCCTGACCATGCAACCCCCCTTCTTCCTTATCAGGTTCTCTGGAACAGCAAAAGACACTATGGCTGGAACAGCTGCTACACCTTGTTCAGAAGAAAAACAGCTTAGTGGCTGAGGAGGCTGAGCTCATGATCATGTAAGGGACACGGAGGTGACAGTGGCTTTGAGCCAGGTCCCACTCGTGTCCTTGAGCACTGTGAACAGCTGTGCCTTTCTATCCCTGCCCTCCACAGGGTGCAGGAACTGAGCCTGGAGGAGAAACAGCTGCAGCTGGACCAGGAGCTACGCAGCTACATGAACCGAAACGGTACGCAGGATGCGGGGAGAGGCAGACATCACGGGGCTGGGGTCTGTGTGAGCCTCCTGATCTCAGGTACTGACCAAGCAACATGGTCCTCTAGTCAGGTTCCTCTGGGGAATTTGGCAGGAAGCCAGAGGAAGGGGCTCCAAGCCCCTCTTCTGCCTGCAGTTCAGTCAGACCTCAATAGGTTTCATGCATGATTTCCTGGAACACTGCTAGAAAACCACTGGTGTTGACAAACCTAATTTTACAGACTAGGAAACAAAAGTCAGGTAACAGAAATCAAGAAATCACATAGGCCGCGATTAAGGTGCGCCTCTCCTGCCTCCCCAACCAGTTCTGTATCATCTTCTCTCTTCAGAAGTCCAAAAGACCGTTGCTGACCAGCAGGCTGAGGACCGGATCCTGAGGGAGCTGGTGAATGTGGTGAACCAGCGAGACGCCCTCATCCGCTTCCGAGAGGAACGCAGGCTCAGTGAGCTGGCATCAGGGCCAGGGGCCTAGGGCTAGAAGATGGTAAGCTGCCTGCCTTCTTCCCCGCAAGACCACCTCACCCAGGACAGTGCTACCCTGCTCATCTGGGCTGCCTGGGAGAGGGCCTCAGTGTTTGTAATAAAAATGTTTCTGCCACATGCCAGGCATAGGCTGCCTGCAGATAGGAGGAGGTGGGGAGTGTGTACGGAGGGCAAGAGATGTGTAGGAGCCTGAAGGTCTACACTGTAACAATCACTGTGATCACTGGCCCGATCGCTGCCTCTCCAAGGAAAAGGCAGAGCCACCAAAGTGTCAAGCTTTATTGGTCCTCGGCCCTGTCCCCCTCCTGATGCCCCAGCAACAAAGCTGGCTGAGACTCTGGGCCCAAGTCTTGGGCCTCTCTTGCCCTTCCCAGCACATGTTGGAGCTCAGCCCGGGCCCTACATAAGCCCTTAGCCTCCTGCATGTGGAAGAGATAGAGTGCACCTGCCCCCAGCATCAATCCTATACTGGGAGTCCAAAGCAGTATAGCAACTTCCCTGACCTCTCCTCCAGCAACCAAGGCACAGAGCAATGCCAGGAGAAGCAGCCCTAGCCCAATCATGTAGCCAGCGAAGGTGGCCCACCAATGAGCTTGAGCCACAGCCAGATCCAGCTCTGTCCAGGCCTCCCTTAGCACGCTGATCAATGGTGACCTCTCTGCTGGTCCTAGAACAAGGCAGGGCAGTGGGGCAAGACAGAGGGTCAGAGTGGAAGGGCTGCCTTATGGTGGGGAGGAACCAAGGGAAAGGATGTGGGTGACTCACCATTGGTAGAGCTGGGGTTTTGCTGGGGTGGGCTGTGTTTCACACATAGAGTAGCCATCAGGGCTTCATGATCGGAGAGTGGGGAGCCACTGTGAGGGTCATGGCCTGCAGTAGTTTTGAGAGTCTTACAGGAGATGTAGAATCCAGAAACAGCCTGGGAAAAGGAAGGGCCGGAGAGAAACTTGTATCTTCCCAGACAACCAGCTCCTAGCTGTCCCATCCCCCAGGCATCAGTGAACTAAGGCTAGAGTAGATGCACAAAGGGTCAGCCCAGGTCGGTGAGAGATGAATAGACATAGTGGGTGAAGGCACATTGTGGGGAGGGGCCTGACCTTATAAAGCACATAATCGATGCGGATGCCACAGGGAAATGGCTCCAGCTCCTGCTGGTTGACGTAGCAGTTCTGAGGTACCATTGTACAGCCTTCTTCAGAGCCCTAGGTGAACAGTTGGCTTGTGCTAGGATGTGGGGGAAGAAGGGAAAGAAGCTGGATGTCCAGGTGGGGAAACAATCAAGCAGGTCCTCACCTTGAAATCCTGGGTCTCAAGGTAGGCATCATGCAGCCCCGTCCACTCCTTCAGCAGGCGGTAGCCCAGGTCCTTTGGGTGCAAGTTGAGGTCCCCACACAACAGAATGACATCAGCCTTCTTGGATGTATGGCTAGGGAAACCAGGTGAGTGAGGCAAGAACTCTTTCCTAGCCAGCTCTACCCTATAAGTGGGGCTTTGGCCACTGCTCAGCCCCTGGACCCCATCCCACATCCCTTGTCAAGCCCAGGCTCACACACTGGATGAAATGGGCCAGTTCCCAAGCTTGGGCCACACGATGTGCTAGGTAAATGTCCTTCTGTCGATTGTACTCTGCGTGGAGCTGAACAAGATGAATGAGATTACAGCAGGTGAGATGAGGGTCCCAAGGGCAGGTCTAAATTAACCTGCTGTCACTTGGCATGATGCTTGGTAAAAAATGAGTGAACCTTGCCTACTGATTTTTGGAGATCCTGCCCCCACACCTCACCCCCAGGTGAACCCTCTAGCAGCCCAGCTAGAGGATTCCATCTCTCCCTCCCAGTACCAGGTTGCCTGTCCCCACCCTCAGCACCACCAGCTTCACTCACGTGGGTCACGTAGGCATTGAGCACCAGTCCACTTAGATGGAGCACCAGCAGCCCCACAGCCTTCCCACTGAACCAGTCACCATGATGGATCTACAGGCAGGAGGGGGCAGGAACTCAGAGCACTGCTACCCTCTTTCTGTCCACACCCCACCCCCTGCAACCCTAAGAAGGCTGCCTCTTTTACCCAGTTAGTGAAGGGTGGGTAAGGGAGGCAGATTAGGTCAGAACTCAGGCATACCATGTAGGGGTAGCCATTGAGACTGTAGACATGCTGGGTGAATTCCTGGATTGGGTGTTTGGAGAAGACACAGAGACCACTGCCAATGATGCCACTGGAAGACAAATCCTGATTAATGGTCAGAAAAACAGAGAAAGACCTAGTCCTCTTCCCTTCTCTTGTCTCCCAGCACTTAGCTATTTTTTAATCTTTCTGCTCCTGGGACCAGCTCCGGGACCCAGCTCAAAGCAACAGACCTCTGTGGGACTACACCATGACCTGATGACAGGGCTGAGATAAGCTGAAGAGCTAGGATCTTCCTGGTTCCACCCTCTCTGGCTTCCACACCCAGAGGAGAGAATGCTGGGGGACAGGAAGGACGGTGCAGCCAGGATAGGGTTGGACTGGCAGGGCCAAGAGCCTCGAGGCTTCCAGGCCAGAAGGGTTCTCACCTCCTGAAGTAGTGTGCAGCTGGGTAGGTGGGCAACAGCTTCTGTCGCAGGTCCTGGAAGTCCTGCTCACTCCACACCTGGGGGAAGGGGTGAGGATGTCTGCCTGGCTCTTTCCCAGAGGGAAAGTCTCCTACTTCCCCAGCTTCCCAGTTCGGGTTCCACCACGCCAGTTCCATACAGCCCACCTCCTCCAGTAGAGCTAGGTCGAAGCTCTCCATGTTCAGAAAGTCTCCCAGGCGCTTCATGCGGTCTGCTCGGTGCTTGCTCAGGTACGGAATGCCCCTAAGGACAGAAAGACCAGGGGAGGTAACAACTGGGAGTCCTTGGCCCTCTGGACACCGCTGGAGCTGGGAGCCAGGTGTGGGTTTTGGCGGTGCGGGTTCTCCCAGCACCCGAAGATTGTAGGACAGGGTAAATAGTCCTCGCCCGGATGTGAAGATGGGCTCCTTCCTTTGGTTGTGTGGGTGCGACTGGGGCCGTGGCCCAGATCCCACTCCGCAGGACCACTCACCAGCAGTTGAGGTTAAAGACCCTCAGTCGCAGGGAGAAGTTGGGCTTCATGGCGGGAACAGTCACGGGACACGGGACGGCTCCACTTCCCAAGTGACCGCAGCGGCCCGGACGAGCGTGGGCAGGCGGCGCCTCTTCCCAGGGTAGTGCGCACAGGTGGTCGGCCCCGCTGTCGCGCTGCCCCTAAGGACGTATCTCGTAAGTCTGGAAGGCTTAGGCCAGTGGCTGGACACTGCACCCGACAGACTCCCGCGTTACCCAGGCAACTGACCAGCTGGCCCAAACTGGCTGCCCACCAAACCGGAAAGGCGATCTGCGGCGACACCCGGTAGGTGGCTAAAGGCGAGGGCCGCGTGCGAGGGGGACCGGAAGGGTGGCAAGCCGCACTGAGACATAAGAGGCTCAGGGCTCCCGGTTCTTCTCCCTCGAATTCTGTCCCGGCCTGGCCGCGGCGGCCACAGCACCCTCAGCCCGACGCGTCCTGTTGGGGCGTTTTCCGGCTCAGCAGCAACAGGCGAACACGCCTCACCAGCCCCGCCCACCCCGCCCCTAGCCCCACCTCCCTCCTCTTAGGAAGCGTCGGGGGCGGGGCCTCGCGGTTGTCCTGGCGACACGCAGTGTTTGTGCTACATCTCGTCTCAGAGCGCAGTCATGGCTGGACCGCAGACTAGCGGGCAGAGGTCGGTCCCATTCTGCTCGCAGTTGCGGCCCGAACAGCCGCTGCAAGTGAAGGTGGTGGGGCTCTTCAAGAGCTCTAGCTTTCAGATTGCGAAGAGCACAGCTGAGGTAACGGCGAAGAAACTACAAGTGCCGGAGGCCCTTCCCACTTTCCAGCCTCGCTCCTCTTAGTGGTAGGGGTCGAGGCTCTGGGTGGGGAGTGTCCTGGTTGAGCCTCGCGAGTCGGCTTGAATTTGAGCGAGAAGGGGGAAGTGCGGTTTCGGAGGGCGGGCATTCCACTTCGAGAAGGGCTGCTTTTAAAGGGCCTTCCGAGTGAAGGAAGGGTTCAGAACCTTGCTGGGAATAAAGGTACTTCCTGCCCTCTATATAGCCGCACAGATTATTTCACATTAATTTTTAAATGAAATTATAGATTTTTTTAAGTTCATGAAAAAAATGTTTAGGAAAAAGTGTTACCGTATAATTAGCTGAATTTTTACAAACTCCCACTCCGAGTGATTGTTGAAAACTATTCATTCGGGAAGATTTTTTGTTTTTAATTAAAAATTTTTAAAGTAGTCACTGTATTCCAATCGAACTATGTTCTTAAGGGGATTTTTCTCTCTTTTTAAAAGATTTTATTTATTTATTTGTAGCCAGAGGGGAAAGGAGGGAGAAAGAAGGAGAGAAACATGAATGTGTGCGAGAAACAAATTGGTTGATTCTCCCATGCCCCAAGTCCGCATCTCATGCATATGTGCCCTGACAGGGAATGGAACAAGTAACCAAAGTTTCGCAGGCCGGCGCTCAATCCACTGGGCTTCACCAGCCAAGACAGATATCTTAATAAATGACTGACCATGAGGTGCTTCCAAGAACACAGACATTTCTTTGTAAACACAGAATGATACGGAAGGAAAAACAGTTTAATTGGAAGAATGTGGCCAAGTCAGTAATGTTGCAGCATGCCTATAACCCCAATGCGGGGGAAATGTAGAAATCTGTGAAATGTTGAAATGTAGAATTCAGCCTTCTGCTCCAGAAATGTTGTTCTAACATTATGCCGATCTTCTCTTCTTCAAAACCCCACCAGAATCCAAGACAATACCTATGTCTGTATCTCACAAAGTACCCGCTGGATACTTGACACAAAATGTTCCCAAATAGAAGAAATCTTAAATTCCTACCTCACCTACTCCAAGTCCACAGAGTTAAAAAAAGTTTGTAATTATGTCAAATCAGGAAATAGTAACTAACTTATGAAATAGGTTAAAGTTACATCAAAATGAAGAGTGATCAGAAGTCTGTGGAAATGATATAAGGATCATGTGAAGAAGTAGAAATTGAGGGTTGTGTTAGTTGGGCTGATGGGATTGGCATAGTTTTATAACCTAAGTTTGTATTTCATATGTTTGAGGGGGGTTTTCCTCTTAGCTCCTTTTCTGAAGGCACAAGTTTTCTGTGCCTGCTCCACACTGTAGACAAGATGTTGCCAGTGTTTTTGGGTAAAGTCCAGATATTAAATTACTAGGCCTTCGGGGCCGGTGGTTCTCCATGGCCACCACTCAGTTTTATCCTTGCGGTGCAAAAGCAGCCACACAGTATGAAAATGAATGGTGAGTTTCCAATAAAACTGTATTATGCACACGGAAACTTGACTTGCATGTAATTTCACATGACGTGAAATATGATTTTTTTTGGTTTTTTCAACTTAGTGGTTTTTCAACTTACCTGTTTTTTTTTAGCTAAAAATTATTCTTAGCTCTAATGTCAAAAAACAGGCTGGGGGCCAGATTTGTACCCCTGGCAGGTTGCCAGTCTCTCTCGTAGAAGAGAAAACAATATCTTCATTATATCAGTAGTGATAATTTTCCCTCTCATAAACTTTTGCTTACTATAGCTCTATGTGAATATGAAAACATCCACGTGAATTCAGTTTACCATGATCCTAGTAAATATGCCCAACACGATCATTTGTGAGCAATCCCAGATGCCTAATGAACTGACAAAGATTCAGATTTGTAAAAAGTATTACACATATTCTAATCCGGATGTGGTCCATTCTAGAACAAACATTAAATTATGAAGAAAGTGTGATTCTGTATGCCTAATTTAAAAACTGTTGGGTTTATTAGTCATTCGACGTGGTTCCTCAGTTCGAAACAGTCATCCCATACAGTTGCCTTAGCATGAGCACAGACACTGCAATTGAGAGAAAAGGACATATCATTTGTTGGTTGGGGACAGTAGTCTGAGAAGGCAATGGCCAGATTGCTATTGCTGTCTTCTGCTGTGCCTGGTTCCAAAGCAACATGCGCTCACATCAAGGCCTTCTTCCCCTTGAAATATCTCCCCTGGATGAAGCGTGCCAGATCAGTGTTCTCTCAGACCAAGGGTGTCAAATTCATTTTCATGGGGGGCCCATCAGCCTCATGGTTGCCTTCAAAGGGCCGAATGTAATTTCAACTCCTTAACAGTTAAGGAGTAGTTACATTTATACAGTCCTAAAATTATTTCAACCTTTTGAAAGCAACCATGAGGCTGATGTGCGCCCCCCCCCCCCGCCATGAAAATGAGTTTGACACCCCTGTCTTAGATGATGGCAGAAGAGGCCGGCTGTCACTTTTCCTTGTTGGCCCATCTGCTCCTCAGACCCACTCAGAAAACAGGCCTAACTGTTACTGCCTCAACTACCTTCTCTTGCTTTAGAAGGAGGGAAAGTATAACATACTATGAACTGAAATATTTTATTTTTGATGGGGATTATTAACCACTAAGAATTTTCTCTGATTCATATAGACAGTTCATATAGAGCATGTTAAACCAAAACATGCTCATTATCTAAACCTAATCATATTTAGTATTTACTTATCTCTTTCCGAAGAGGTATAACCATAATAATATCCTTTTGGTCATTCTCCATATATCAGTGAATTAAAGCAATACATTTATTTCTTTTAGTTGAAAGTATCCATAGATCTATTGCGGTTTAGTAAGAGTTTAATTCAGGGGGAAAAAAGTAATAAAAGAACATAGTATATTACAGAACTATTGGCACAAATTCATTTATTTGTTCATTTGTTTATTCAGTTACTATGTATGAGTGATCCATTATGTGCCAGATGTTGAGGCCAATGGAAGTAGAGGAAAACTAAGACACAGTCTTTGCCCTCAAGGGGCTTATGCTCTACAGATGAGAGACAAATAAGACAGAGCCCCAGCCTGGGCTGGGGAGTGACTCAATGGAAGTGAACACACGGGACCTCAGAGTGTCGTGCAGCCTGGGTGTGCGTTGTATAAAATTTCTTGGAGACCCCATAAAAATTGGGACAAATGATTACCACTTTGAAAAGGAACTTACTCTAAAATAATTATTCTATTTTGAAACCTAGAGTCTGAAGAGTAATTTTCCATCCAAATTTGAAGATCCTATAGTAGTTCCTCTTCAAGACTTTGCATGGGATCAATATCTACAGGAGAAAAAAAGGGTAAAGGATATTGGGGTGGTGGAAATGAGTGAAGTTTTGCCTGAAGTATTTATGCGTTGTTTTGGGAAAACTGAAGTAATTTTAGTGTGACTAAAGTTTATTTCTTTAAATTATGCACTTTTCCTAAATTATTTCAATCATTTTACCAGGCTGATTTTAAGAAAAAGTAAAACATTTACAGGATTTTCTTTTGGAAGGCATGAGATAAAGGTAAGCTTTAAACTCTCAGTGCTGCTACTTACCCCTGCTGATGGCCCCTCTTTCCCCGCACATCCCTTACACTTTCTAGTGCTCAGGTTGCTACAGCTTGCCACTCTAACTCTGGAAGGTTTGGGTTTCGGAGCATGGATGTCGTGAGGAGCTTGTGTTGGGCCATTGCCTAGGGCAGCTCTGATGACAGGCACCAGGTTCCCACAGGGTGGCATTGCTTTAAGTGAAGCTTGCTTCTCTGCATCTCCCCCCCCCCCCACGATTCCCTTGGAGATCCCAGGACTAGTAGAGCTTGTGCAGGGAGGGCAGATCAGTTTTCTCTTTGGTGCCAGCCCTGATAAGTTGGCAGTGCCGTCTGCAGCGTATGATATGAAGGATTCTGAGGTGGCACCCTGACTCAGCAACATCCGGTGTTGGGGGTGAGGTGGAATGGTGTACGCCCCTTGCCAGACCCCCCAGCCCATCCTGTAGGGAGTCCCAGTCCTGGTTTCCCTGCCCCACCCCATCTCAGCAGTGGCTGATGAAATCCCATTTTGCCTGACCTGAGCAGTTTCAATTGTTTTGTGCCTGGTTGCACAAGGAGGTCCTGTGGCCTTGTGATTATCATATAGACTATCATGTGATTATCATGTCGCTTTACCTGAGACCACTTCACTCCCCAGTCACATAAGTGGCACAAGACTGAGTCACGAATACCATTTGTAAGTCTCATACCATTTTCATAGCCTTATTGCATTTTCATTGGCATTCGAATAGAACCATAGGAAACATGTATGATGCTTATTATATATGCCAGACAGTATTCTAATAGCTTCTAACATATATTTACTTTAATCCTTACAACTAGGGCAACCAATGGTTCTGGTTTACCTGGGACCGAGGAGTTTCCTGAGATACAGAAATTTCAGAACTGACACTGGGTCAGTCCTGGGTAAACCATGCCAGTTGGTCTCTCTAACATAAAACAGTTTTTTTTTTTTTTTTTCATTTTTATCATCAAATTTACTATACTGTACCAGCATCATGCTCTCTACTTTTGAGAGAGCTACAATCTCACACTTTGGCTTGCACCTGCCCCTCTACATATTCCCTCTGTACTCTTCAAGAGTAATTTCCCACCCTTTTCAGCCGAGGTTACTGACCTTGACATGTTTTGTGTTCCCTTCCTCCTGCCTTTCTCACAGGTCCTGAAGGAGGCTTTCTAGATAAGCATTGCTGCTTCTTCCCACCTCTTCTTTATTCCTTATCTTTCCTTCCTTCCCTCTCTCACCGTCATCTCCTGCATACTTGTCATTTTAACCTCTTCTTCCTTTTCAGGCCAGTATTTTTCCCTTGAGTGTAAGTGTTGTATCACGTGTTTGATGCAGTGCTGCTTAGGTCCATGCTAGCCGTGTGCTTCAGGAGATTGTTGCACACTTGAGAGATGGCTTCAAGGCTTTTGAAAGGCCTTTCTCTCCCTTCCAAAAAAAGTAGCATCATATGTCATAGTGCTGGAAAGCCCAGAAGCCATCAGGTCCAGCCCACTATCTCAAGGCCGGCTAGGAGGTCTCCTCATGTACAGAGGCCACACAGAGACAAAGCAGCCTCTGAATAAAGTGTACCTTCTGCTGCATTTCTTCTGCCAAGGGAACTAAAATATCCACAGTTAAACTTCCTCTCCCTCTTTCAAAGTTTTGTGTCCTGTGAAATGTGATAACACTGGTAAATTTAAACCAGGGAGTATTGATTCATAAGCTCTATCAGTGATTTACAGTTCAGCATGAACTGTATGCTCTTCCTTGAAGCAGGCTGCAAACAAATAAGAAATCTCCTGAGAGGAGCTGAAAATGGAGCAAGTTGGCAAACCAAAGGCAGGCTGTTCCCCCGCAAACTGGCATTTTTCTAAGTGCAGTCTCCGACCAGCAGCATTGGCAACTCCTGGGATGTTGTTAGACATTGCATTTCTAATGTAAATTCTCAGGCCCCTCCCCCAAATCAGAAACTCAGGAGAGGCTCAGGAATCTGTAATTCCGATTGCCCACTAAAATTAGCTGTTCCAAATTGGCCATGGTTTTGCCAGGACCCCCACTGGGTGATAATAAACCAGATCTCTTTGAAGGGGACGTTACTCAGTGGCCACACACTGGACCTAGGAGGTTGACTGCCAGTGTCATGTGGAGAAAAACACGAACACTTTGAAGGGCTTAGTACTTGTAAGTGTCTCTCATCTGCCCTGGGGAGCCCAGAAATTCCTGTCAGCCCTGTCAGGAGACATTCCTTTTCTCTGACATCTCCTCTATCAACAAAACATTCTTTCCATCCTTCACACTGAAAAGCATGTCTTGCTCAGAACCCCCGACCTTTCCATGGATGCACACAGTAAACTGCTTCAGATCTGCCGTCAGAGGTGGCCTTCTGTCTTCAAGTTACTATGACAAGCTTGCTACACACAGATTTTTATTACCAGATGACCATGTATTTTTTATGACTATCATTTTTAAGATTACCTTCAGGTCATTCTTTGCTTTCAGTGATGTCAGAGTCTTGAAAAATGTTCTTATACTCTTTTTGAGAGCAAAATTCTGAAAAGTGGCAAGAAACACATTTTTTTAAAGATTCAGTCCTCGAGTTGAACCCAAGCTCTGGCTTGTGGGGTTAGCAAGGTTTTTTTCTTTCTTTCTTTGTTACTTTTTTTCTTTTTTTTTTTTTTACAGGAACTTAAGAATGAAGTCTGGGAATATTCTGCCTATGTCATGTGTTTTATTAATGATCTGCTCCTGGGTGATGCACTCGATCTGCAGAAGTGGGCCCACAAGGTATGGGATGTCGTTGATTTTAAGCCCCCTGCACTTTATGAGGCACTTACTGTGGATTATTCTGCTAAATTCTTAAGAGACACCAAGGTAAGTTACACTAATTTTTAAAGAAGTCGATTCATTATTATTTACTGATATTCTAATGAAGGGAATATAAAAGAATAGGAGACCGGGTTTGTTAAGGATTACATAATATGGTAGGGCTTGGCTTGGTGGTGGTCACACAAGCCTGTATCTCGGTGGGCGGGGGCATCCCTGCTCAAACATCTCCACCCCCCTGCAGGGGTGTCCAACCTGTGGCCCACGGGCTGCATGTGGCCCAGGATGGCTATAAATGCAGCCCAACACAAAATTGTAAATATACTCAAAACATTGTGAGATTTTTTTTGTGATTATGTATCATAATGTATTTAATGTGTGGTCTGAGACATCTCTTCTTCCAGTGTGGCCCAGAGATGCCAACCCCTGTGAGGTTTATCATCATTCATTTTAAAATACAAAGACTCCACCTCAGAGGTCAAGCCTGTCACTCATCCACCTTTAATGAATATATTTATTTTTATTTTTTAAAAGATTTTATTGATTTACTTAGTAAGACAGAAAGGGAGGGAGAAAGAGAGGAAGAGAAACATTGAAATGTGCTGGAGATATATCAGTTGGTTATCTCTCATATGCCCCCAACTAGGGTACCTGGCCTCAAACCCAGGCGTGTGCCCTGACTGGGATTGAAACTGCAACCTTTTGGTTCACAGGCTGGTGCTTAATCCACTGAGCCACACCAGCCAGGGCTAGTGAGTATTTTAAGTAATACTTCAGACACCTAAGTGACAGCTACCGCACTAAGAGCATGGAAAGTTTGAGAAGAAAGGTGACATTTTGAAGCATGGCACAGTTGGTGACAGCAGGAGTGGACCAACTGTGGCATTGGGGTTTCCAGTGGCAGAGGACAGTCATGATGTCTGAGGTCCAAAGAGGAAGAGACAGACATCAGGGTGGGATGGCAGTACAGACAAAAGTACTTTGTAATTTTGCTTCAGACACTTTGTAGCAACAATTACCACATGCTGGAAATCACTTCTTGCTTGTGGTGGCCAGGCCCACACAAAGATCCATGTCTTTCTGAGCCATGCAAAGGCAAAGACCAATAACTTGCATCACTGTGACAGCCCTGCTTTGAACAGAATCAGAAACATAATAGGTGCTCAGTGAATCATTGGTTGAATAAATAATGCACTTGGAAACCGCTGGAAACTCTGGGGTGTGAGGAGGAATTCAATGTTCGTAGCAGTCACTTCCAGAGGGACAGGAGTTCAGAAGTACTTGGTGTACTCTGGGAACAACTGGGAAAAGCAAGGCAGCCAGGATTAGTGCAGAAACAAGGCTGGGAAAATCAGAGTATCAGTCATACTAAGCTACTCTGATTAGCTTAAGGAGAAAAGGTTTTATTTGACATGTTGGTAACCTCACAATTGACAGGTAAGCTGAGGAACCTCTTAGGAAAGCAGGTAGAAACCAAGGGAGGTCTGGCAACAGGAAAACATGGGCAGGGCCATACCTCAGGAATGTGCAACTGTGGGTGCCCCCTGCCTGGATTTGAATGGCCACCTTCACCAAGAATAACTGCTCAGCTGGCCTTGTGTCATTGTTGCTCTCTGGAGAGCCAAGGAGCAGGCAAGAGCAGCTAACTAGTGGAGCCGAGGTCACATCCCTGCGCCCTGGTGCTCACAGGATGAGGAGAGGGAGAACCGGCCCGTTAGGTTCTGTTAGGTCCTGTTAGGTTTTACAGAGAGTGGCGGGCCCTGTGGGGAATTCCCCAATTGGAACAAAGAAAGTTGAACCTATCATGCATTCTGAATCAAGGAGTTAGATTTTATCTAGAAGGAAGCCAAGCCAACAGAACTTTCATAAAGAGTATGATATAATCTCTTTTTTTTTTTTTTTAACTATCGGGTGTGCAGAGACAGCCATTTGGAAAGCTGCTGTACTGCTGTACTAACATGGGCTAGAGATAATGACAGCTTGAATAATTAGGACAATGAGGAGAGGGGACCTAGATTCTGGAGAAAATCCTTAGTTGTTTTTTTTTTTCCTTCTCCCAAATGGTGGATACTTGATGCTGAGTAAAATCCAGGCAGGGACTTATTTACTTCTGGGTTGGATCAACACACCACACGATTGTGTTGGCGTGTTTGGCTGCCAGGTGACATTTCTTGTGCTGCATTTATTTGACCTCCTTTCATGCGAGTTTTCAGAATTAACTACTATTGACAACCCCATAAAGATAAGATACTGTTGCACAAGGAATCATGATTTTAAGTAGATCCTCTTTTTCCTCCTAAGCCTGTGAAGTTTACAATATTATGCCTTTTATTCTCAAGTTATAATCTTTTATAATTAAGAAATTGTAGTATAGAAGCTGAGAGGCACAAGTTAATTATAATTAGTGTGGATGCCAGAATGTACAATATTATTTTAGTCTTTTAATTAAAAAAGAAAAGGTTTGAGTGACATAAAATTAATGATAGGGATACATTTAATAGCCATTTCATTTATGTTTCCTTGATTCTTAAGAAATAGGGCAGGACACAAATTATGGACCTTGTTAAATCAGGTGGCATTTTTATGTATGAGAACGGTGCCTAAGATTTCAGATGTGTTCTGTTAGATGTGCCCTGCTCCCTAAACGAATGCTACTGTGACAGAGACTAGTGCTTTCATTTTGGATGCCTCTTTGTAAGGCTAGACAAGATCACACAAATGTTAGCTATCTGTCCCAGAAAGGATTTCAATTGAAAACAAGAGCTGGGAGCCTCTGAGAACATGAGGTCGTAATTGTACAGCATCAAAAGCACAGCATCTCTCTTCCCAGCCCCTGGAATCACACCTGCTATGGGTTTAGCAGTTTTATTTTCCCACTCAGGAAGGCTGGCCTGGTTCTGGTTAGCTGAATCAGAGCTGTCTCTGAAAATCCAGACCACATGGTAACCAAATCCATGGTGCTCTCATTGGCTTTTTTCCTGAAGTTACTCAGGAAAAAAAAGAATTCCCAGTCTCCTTCTTTACCCAAAGGGACTGACTGGTGTTCCTTTCCACCCCTCGTTTGCAATGTAGTGGGTATCTAGGCCATGTGTTCTCAGGCTCGGGGGCAGGTTAATGGTACTCAAAGCTTTGCTGCTAAAGGGTTTTAAAAAAGCATGTTATTCAGGTTGTAAAGCCTTGATATAATAAAATGACACAAAATTCTTTAAATTATTCTTTTAGCTGTTACATTCTCCACTGTTAATGCTGTTGACATCTTACCAATAACATTATTGTTTTTTTGGTCATTTCTAAAATTTTCCTCCAAGACGCTGACCTGCATTATCTTTTTCTCCTGAATTTTAATAGCATGACTTTGTGTTCTTGGATGTTTCCATTGCTTTTTCTCCAATTGGAAGATTGATTTTTGAGGTAAGAGGGTTTTTTGTTGTTGTTTTAATAAGGTGGGGGGAATGGGAATTGGTAACCATTAAAATATTAAATATTTAACCTTCGAAACCTTTAATCTTTATTTTTTTAGCTGTTCAACGATGCATGTCCCAAAACATGTAAAAATTTCCAGGTCTTATGCACAGGAAAAGCAGGATTTTCTCAAAGTGGCATCAAGCTACATTATGCAGGTTCGATTTTTCATCGAATAGTACCAAATGGTTGGATACAAGGAGGAGGTGAGTTCGAAATCTTAAATACAACTGAACTGTAACATCAAATCAGAATGTCCAAAATTTATCTACCTAAGTGAAATGTACCATATTTTGCTGTGAATAATGTGCACATGTTTTGCCGAAATTTTTGAGGGAAAAAGAAGGATGTGCATTATATATGGGTAGTATTAATTTTGTGTCTATGTAAATGTTTTTAATTCTTTTATTTATGCTTATGCATTAAAAGTGTAACTCTAGAAAGCAATAATGATATTCTTATGCAAAATAATACCCTGGAATACGATAATCGGTTTTGCTTTTAAATATAAATAAATACATAAATTGAATTAAAAAATTAAAACAAGAGATTTTTTTTCCTGAAAGTTTGGGCCAGAAACATGGGTGTGCATTATACATGGCAAAATACAGTATATAGAATTAACTATATTTAATATTAGATGTTCTGTACATTTAAAGGATATTTCATATGTCCAAATGATGAGTTAAGATGTTCCTACTCTTTAAAAATTCCCTAATTATTAAACAAACTTAAAGTATATTACTAGGAATAGTCTAAAATAAAGTAATACAATAAAGTAAGCTAGCATATTTTTAATTACCATATTTTTCAGACTATAAGATGCACTCCCCCCCCCAAATTTGGGAGGAAAGGGCGGTGCATCTTATATAGGCTGAATGTAGCTTGCCTGGCTCGCTGTGGGAGGGGCAGCAGTGGAGTGGGGTTGTGGCTGCATTTTCCTTCCAAACTGGTGGGGGGAGTGTCTTATAGTATGAAAAATATGGTAAATATAGCTTAAAATGCTTACCTAAATAAATAAGAGTACCTAGAAAATACAGTGCTTTTAAGAAACCTACTAAAGGTGATAATTTGAAAATAGAATAAATGGAAAACAACTTATTTCTTACCAGTGTAATTTATCAACATTACATTGTTACAACTGAAAGTAAGATCTAAAGAGACAATTTTCAACCTTTTTCATCTCATGGCACACATAAACTAATTACTAAAATTCTTCGACACACCAAAAAATGTATTTTTTGCTGATTTTACACAAAAAATAGGCATAATTTTGATTTATTCACACTGGACAGCTGTTGTTGTGTCTTAGCTGTTATCATTTTTTTATCTGACCGTCAAAGGGAAAAGAGGTCAGTGCCCCTGACAAATAATCAGGTGTTGCACGTTTTAAAAATTGTGGAGGCACACTGGTTGAAAGGAAGCATTTTGGTTTCCTTTTTGCTTCCTTTCCAGGTCAGTCCTTTGGCTGCCTGGTTAACAACACAAAATTAAATTTGGGAGGCCCTTTGGGAAATAACTCATAGGAAGCAATCAGTCAGCAACTGAAAAATAATTGGCTTAGGAAAAAACGGAACTCATAGGTATAGAGGACAGTATGGTGATTACCAGAAGGAAAGTGGCGGTGAGGGAAGGTAGAGGAGGGTAAAGGGGGATAAACGGTGATGGAAGGAGACTCGACTTGGGGTGGCGAACACACAATACAATTTACAGATGACATATTACAGACTTGTACACCCGAAACCTATGTAATTTTATTAACCAATGTACCCCAATAAATTTTTTAAAAAAGAAAGGTTGAAGACGAAAGAATGAAAAATATATAACATGTAAACACAAAATGGAAAAAAATTTGGCTTGGTGTGGAAGGAGATTTGTTTGAACTTGATGAAATATGCAGAGGTTTAAAATACTGTTTAATTATTTTTCTGCAATCTGGAACACTCTGAGGCTGATAAGGAGAAAAGTGTAGATTTAATCCAAGTATGTTGTATGTAAATCAGCTATTTTCCCCCTCAGTTTCTCCAAAAGGAGATCATACCGCCAGATCAGCACTACTGTTATCTAACCTCGTTATTTTCCACTTAATTTATATGCTGTGTATCTTCCTATGTCAGTATACATAAACATAAAATCTTAGGATCTGCCTAATTTTTCATCATATTGCTATACTAATTTAATTAATTCACCATTGGTGAACATTTAGTTGTTTTCAATATTTTGTTGGTATAAAACAGTCCTCAAGGGGCTCAGTATCCTGGTACTAAGTTCAGTGTTGACCCTTATGTGCTGGGCTCCCAGTTGCTATGTTCTTTTTTGTCCTGGTTTGCTTTTTGGTTAGACCTCCCTGCCCACCCCCAGTCTCCCCACCCCCAGAGTAAGATTTGGGAAAAGTGGGTCATGCTTATTTATTTGAAGTAAAATCTCCAAATATTAATAGTAAAGTGTACAGATCTTTTAAATTTTTTAAAACTATTGATTTTAGAGAGAGAGAGAGAAAGAAACATGGACTTGTTGTTCCTGTATTTATGCATTCATTGGCTGATTCTTCTGTGTACCCCAGGATTCTTCGATCCCTGACCAGGGATCGAACCTACAACCTTGGTGTATTGGGAGGGCGCTCTAACCAACTGAGCTACCTGGCCAGGGCTAGGTCTTGGGTCAGTTATTCAAAGTAGTGAAGCAGCAATGTTAATGACAGTTTGGAAAAAAAAATTCTGATTACTAGATTCAAATCCAAACTATTATGTGCAAGTTGTACTATGTTGAGTAAGTCACTTTGCATCTCTGAACTGGCCTCTTAATTATAAAATGGAGATAATTATAATATCACAGGATATGTTGAGGATTCCGTGACCTGGTATATTAAAAGTGCCAAGGTCTGTAAACATTCTCCCTTCAGATGGTAGAATTCCACAGGGCTCGGTAGAATTTTGTAGTGTGGGAGCTGAACGTGGTTTTGTGTTATGTCTTAGGATGCTCCCAGGCATTATTTCTTGCCTTTTGGGACTAATAGGCCCTGCATGGTCTTCACTCCGCACCTGCCACCCCCCGCCCCTTTCATCCCCTGACCTCTCTCTCTCATTCACTGTGCTCCTTGCTGTTTCTGAAGCACATCAAGCATACATGTGCCTTGAGGTTTTTTTGTCGTCTATTGCCTGGGATACACTTTACCACCTGGTCCTCCAGATATCCCCTTGCTATACCCCCTGATCTGTTTCTATTTTTTGCCCAGAGTTCAACTCAGCAAGAACTTACCTGATCACCATATTTAAAACCGCCACTTGCTCCCCACCACACACACACTCCTCTCCTTAGTTCCTTCCCTGCTGCTTTCCTGTCCCCTTATTTTGCTTTATTATTCCTTCTTTATTTTTTCCCACCACTGGGCATTCTATTCTGTATTCTCAGTTAATGTACTGTCTTTTTCTCTTCAGTAGAATAGAAGTTCCATGAGGGCAGAGATTTTTATCTGTTTCGTTCACTGTTGTATCCCAGGTTCAAGAGCAGTGCCTGGCATGGGTGCTTAAAAAGCATTTGTTGAGCCCTGGCAGGATGGCTCAGTTTGTTGGAGCATCATCCCATCCGCCAAAAGGTTGCCAGTCTGATCCCCAGTTGGGGTGCGTGCGGGGCAGGGTGGGGGAGTCAGGCAACTGATCAGTGTTTCTCATATCAATGTTTATCTCTCCCTCCCTTCCTGTCTCTCTAAAAAAATAAATTTAAAATTAGGTTGAAAGAATGAATAAATGAATGAATGAATGAATGAATGAACAAACAGTTAAATGGGAAACATACATGCTATTCATTTCTAAAGTACAAATTTAAAGATATCAAGTCATTAAGCCACTTTGGTAAGATTCCCTGTCTGTGGTTCCCACAAGTTCTACTGTCTTCAGAAGGATCTCTTGAGATATTGCTTAATACATTTTATCATCCTCATCACCATGATGATCTTAAGGGTGGTGAAGGTGATGATAGTGAAAGGAGGCATTCCACAAGCACGGGATGCTGCACAATAGTAACAGCCATTAATGAGCGGGCGTGCCGCTCTGCCAGGGACTGCACTAAGTGTGCTACCTACGTGATTTCATTGAACCCTCAGCAGTACGTGGGAGGCACTTACCATTATCCATGTCTATACAAAAGAGAAAACAGGCTTGGAAAAAGGTAAATAACGTTTAAGATTTAAATTAAAATCATCTGACTTTAAAGTTTACTTTTAATTTATTTTTAGATGTACAGAAATAATACCAGATGTACAAGGCTGAATTAAAGGGGGTGGGTTTTGGCCACAAAAAGTATTAAATACTGATAGGTATCAATATAAAAAGTTCACCTGAGAGATCTAAAAGCAAAGGGCAAGAGTAGTAATGGTGTACAGACAGAGCAAAGGAGTGTCACTGGTGTTTAAGTGTTAGTGGGGGAGGGGAACCAACTGGACAGATTTGTCTGAGCAAAGTAAACTTTAGGATCTGAGGGAATAGGTGCCTGGCGACCCTCGTTCCTGGATTTAGCCTTCAGCTGTTCCAGCATGCTTCTGAGAGTTGCTGAGGGCTCTGGGTGAATCCCGAGAGAGTATTGGGCAGAGAGGAGCTGGAGACTTGAAGCTTATCAATTAACTTCTGAACCAGCTTTGTAAATAGTATAATTTAAATGCCACACGCCTTGTCCTGCATAAATTCTCTCCACATCTTGCTGTTGCATTAGATATCTTTAAGCTGGCACAGATACTCTATAGATAAATTGTTCATACTGAGTTAAAACGGCACGGCCCTTCATTAGATATTTATTGCACACTGTATTCAAGGAGGGCGGATTAGAGAGCTGAGGGTGTGAAGAGGTACTGGGGAGGCTGGAAGCACAGAAGTCAGGCCTCAGAGACCTCTAGTTTCACTAGAATTAGCTGTGCTTCCCTTTTAGCTGTGGGCAGATTAACTTGTAGATGGAGGAGTTCTATACTAGGAGCATTACCTATGCCAAAATATGTATATAATGTAAAACAGGTCATATACATACTTAAGAAAAACTCACTATATTACAAAGGAACTTCATTTCCAAAATACTGGGGTTCCAAGGAATGAAAATTTAAACATTAATTATTTTGAAATCATGTTTTTATTCTTGCTCTAAAAAGATCTTAGTGTTTCTATTTTATCCTCTTGGTTTTTATTTTTCTGAAAAACAAGATGGACTATGGAATAACTTGTGAAGTAAGCAGCATTTATATGAATGCCTTTTTAAAAAGCAGTATCAAATTATAACTTAGTATTTTATCATTTCAAAGTTTTGCATGATAATTTAACCTACCTCTGAGAGTTATTAGGAAAAAAAATAGGGTCTTCAATGTAAAAGTGCTTAAAAATGCAAGTGAAAACATAATAGCAATATTTTCATTGTATAAAACTTAACTGTAGTTGTTGGTATAAGGGAAATGATTATGTAAAGCATTTTTCTCCTACCAATATTGTACTTTCTTTTTTAGTTTCAGAATTCTAATGTTTATTTATTGTTACTTTGCAGATATAGTAGCTGGAAAAGGAAATGGTGGAGAGTCAATTTATGGACCAACATTTGAAGGTATGTTTCTTTAAATTTTATCAGTCATGTAATAGTTGATTATTCAAATTAAACAGGACAGGGCAATTCACATTTTCAAATAAGATAGTGTTTGGGGTAATACACTAAAAGTGGGAGTTGAAAATGGCACCCCGATCTAGTCCAGAATAGTTTTGAACACACATTTTTTCATTTTCCTAAATATATTATTTCTTTAGAACGAATTCCTAGAATGAGAATTGTAGGGTCAAAAGGAATTGATATTTTTAGAGCTTCTAATTTGCCATTCTCAGAGTTGGCCCCTTGACTATCCTCCTGTTTAGGCTGCCTGGAATCCTGTGAAGATGGTGGTAGTAGTAGCATAGTTTTTAGTTTTTTAAAATTCCAACATAAAAACTGACATGAGAATTAGATAGAAAAATGGAAAACCCATGGATAACATTTACAACAATGATGTGACAGGCTAAGTTATGTGAATTCCAAAGTACAAACAGGTGAGGACAGACTGCCCATGGCCATGGTCTGCCAACAGCCATGAAACCTGTTAGAGAAAGCAGGGTGTCTGAGGGACCTGACAGCAGCAGAGCCCCACAGTAGCCAAGAGCTGGTGTGGGCATGGGGCCCATAGGGGCCCCATGTAAGGTCTGAAGGAATGTAAGGTCTGAAGTGGCTGGAGCAGTCTAACCTCTGGAAACTCTTGAGGATGCTCTGAAATGGCTCTCTTCTAGGACAGGCACACACTGAGGAGGTGTGGCTGGGAATGGAATCGAAATTATGCGGGATGTAGAGACAACAGCGAGAAAGAAGGAATGGGAACAGGACTAGGAAGTCTCAGAAAGCAAGCTGCCATATTGTTGAACACTGTATGAAAACAGCCCAAAAGGGAGCTTTGTGAAGTTGGAGAAGCTACTTTCCTACTAAAACCACACCTGCTTCTAAATGTTTAGGAAAACTAATTTTACATAAAAATGAGCAACAAAAAGTTTCATGGTTATTAGAAAAAAAGGGAAGAAGGAACAGAGTACCATCACTACAGATCATGAAAGCACACTAGAAAGGTATGCTCACAAACAAGCAAAACTGTGACATTTTCAAAATGAGCTAGAAGACATTAATAAAACGATACAAGACAGGAAAGAACTCATAAATCAGAATTAGGAAACTCAGCATAAGGTTGCAGAGCTGAGGAAAGAATTAACCTTAAAAGAAAATCTCAAAAAGAAACTTTTAAAAATAAACTAGAAGGACCACAGATCAAATAAACACAACAGATAGGCGTTTTAAAAGTAGTTTATAAGGGGAAGGTTTTTCTTTCTATTTTTTTAAAGATTTTATTTATTTTTAGGGAGAAGGAGGGTGGGAGGAGAGAGGGAGGGAGCAACACATCTGTGTGAGAGAGACACGTGGATAAGTTGCCGTTCGCACGTGCCTAGCTGGGGACTGAACCCACAACCTAGGCCGGTGCCCTGACTGGGAATCAAACTCTTGGCCTTTTGGTTTGCCGGATGATGCCCAGCCCACTGAGCCACACCGGCCAGGGCAGAAGGAGGATGTTTTTAAAAACCAAAAAGAGATAAAGTAAGATAAAAAGGATTTACAAGAAAGTGACAACTATTACAGATAGAGAAGACCCAATATATGACTCACTGCTCCTAAGGAACTAAACCAATACAAGGGGACAGAACAAATACTGAGAACTATAATTGAAGAAATTTTCCTAAAATAAAAAAGGATTTGAAAGTATATTTTGTTTTGGGTGATGGTTATACAACTATATACAACTATGAAAATACATGAGACTGAACATCTAGGATATATGCATTTTACTGATTACACCTTAAGTAAAATATAGCAACTTGAAACTACTTATCTTTCAAGCACAAGCTACTTGACAACATTGAACCAGAACAACCAATACCAAGACATATTTTAATAACACAACTGGACATTAAGGAAAAAACAAAAACATTTTTTCCTCAGCTAGGCAAAAAGATCAGGTGATTTACCAGGGAAAGAAAAGTAGTTTATCATCACATTCTTCGACATCATATTCTTACGGCAAAAGAAAATGGAGTGATGTATTCATGATGCTCCAGGAAAGGAAATGTGAGCTATGGTTTTGACACCCAGCCAAACTGATTTTGAATTTTAAAGGGCACACAGAGTTAACAACATGTAAAACTTTAGGGAATAGTGTTGCCACAAGCCCTTCCTGAGTAGTGACTGTAGATAAATTTCACAAAACCAAAGGATCTAGAGACTGATATAAGGACCGGTGGTGAGCATTAATTGTATAGTGACTTGTAAAACTAAAATTTAAAAAAGGGTGAGAGTGTGATATATAATGACCATATACTTGATCTAACTATTTAAAAAATGAAAGAAAAATGGGGAGAATACATGCTGAAAATTTTTAACTATTTTCAGTCATACTGATGATGGTATAATTAATATTGATATTTTGAGATTATTGTATATATCATGTGGAAAAAGGTAAGTAATCAAGGAATATTCTAATTTCATTATTTCCTGCATCATTGAGAATCAGGATTTTCACTGTGGAAGGAAAGAGGAACAGATGAAATATGATAGAGGCTAATAAAAAAATAGTTCATAGTCCTCAATTTGAATGGTAAATACCCCTTTAAACACAACAAGCATCTTCTCTCTATATATAGCTGTGTCCACTGAATTGATCTACAAACAACCACCAATCCTGTAGTGATACTCACTCCTAGCGTTTACGTTGTTGTTTTGAAATGTTATTTCTCACTTAAAGGCAGCAGGGCTTCTGGGAGAAATGTCAGAATCCCGTTCTGGGACAGAAAAATTACAAATGAGCCTGGAACCTCCTGTTCAGGCATCCTGTCATCGGACAGCAAGAGAGCTATGAAATTTACTAGGGTCATGTCAAAGGCCTTAAGAGACAATTTGGAGAGATTCTCACTGGCCAAAGATGGACTAATTTGAATAGTAGTTGCAATAATTAAAACCTAACACATTTTAAATCCATGAGTTCATATTCATATTATATTATAAATAAAGCCTAATTGCTTAGACCTTCGTCCTTCTGTCCAATAAGAGACTGATCTCTCCTCACCTGCCCATCTGGAATGATTTGGAATGACTTTATTATCTTGAAAACTGATAAATATAGAGCATGGAACCCCACCCCCACCCTGTGGCTCCACTCCTTCCAGATCCTGCTCCCCTAGGTGGCAGCCACTCTCGGGCTTCCAGCACTCCAGTGGGCACAGCCTTGGGGCAGCAGCCACTTGTTGTTACAGGAGGCAGTACCACTTACTTCCAGAATGTGGCCATGTTCTTCTCTCACAAGGAGGGGCAACAGCTGGGCTCAGACAAGGAAGCGCTGTAGAGGGACATGATGCTGGAGAATTGCAGGCAGGTGGCCTCACTGGGACTCCCTGTCCCTAACCCAGAGCTCATCTCCCAGCTGAAGCAAGGTGAAGAGCTGTGGACCCTAGGTCTTGTGGAAGCTGAGGACTAGAGCCCAGGAGCAGCAGCAGCACAGGACTCGTGGTCAAGATGGAGGCGAGGTAAACATGGCTCACCTCCTTGCACAAGCACAGCAAAAATTACAACTAGACTACAAAACAAATATCACCCAGAATAATCAGAAAATCGACCCATATGGAAGTACGACAACAAAGGAATGAAAGGGGGAGAGAGACAACTACACATGGAGAGGCGAGGAGACATGGAACGGGTGGTCCCACACCCACATGTGGTGGATAAAAATCAGAAGGGATATCTTGGGAGGGAGGGATTCCAAGACCACTCAGCCCAGGGTCCCAGTGCCAAGAAGATAAGTCTCCATAACTTCTGGCTCTAAAAATCAGTTGGGGTTGGGGTGGTGAAAGAAACTGTGGGATTCTCAGGAGTCTCCTCTTAAAGGGCACACAGCAGTCGAAGGACTTAAACAAACTCACTCTCTCTGGGCTCCAGCACCAAGGCAGCAGCTGGAAAGACACCAGTGGCAAATGGGGAGAAACTGAAGTGTCTGGCATTAGGGCGAGTGTTAGGGGACAGCTTTCTCCTGGAGAAAATTCCAGATGCTAGGTAGCAGCAGCAGCAGCATTATCTGCTTTCTTAGCCCTCTCCCACACAGAGCCACAGAGCAGTGACACTGTATTGGAGACTCCATAAACCTGAATCACATGGGTTGCCTCTGAAGACTACCTAAGACTCCACCCCATCCAACCTACCAGTGCACTTTTCTTCAGTAGGCCATGATTCTAAGACAGGTAGTCAAAGCACCTGTATCTAATACACAGAAACAAACACAGGGAGCCTGCCAAATTGAGGAGATGGAGAAACATGGGCCAGATAAAAGAACAGAACAAAACTCCAGAAAAAGAATTAAACAAAATGGAGATAAGCAATCTGTCAGATGCAGAGTTCAAAACACTGGTTATTAGGATGTTCATGGAACCCACTGGGCACTTCAAAAGCATAAAAAAGCTCCAGGCAGAAATGAAGGTTATATTCAGTGAAATAAAGAAAAATTTCCAGGGAACCAACAATGGAATGGATGATGCTGAGAATCAAACCAATGATTTGGAACATAAGAAAAAATTCAATCAGAAAAGCAAGAAGAGAAAGAATCCCAAAAATCAGTGATAGGCTAAGGAAACTCTGGGACAACTTCAAATGTATCAACATCCAAGTCATAGAGGTGCTGGAAGGAGAAGAGATAGAGCAAGAAATTGAACACCTATTTGAAAAAATTATGAAAAAAAACTTCCTTAATTCAGTGAAGGAAATAGACATATGAGTCTAGGAAGTACAGAGAGTTCCAAACAAGCTGGACACAAAGAGGACCAGAACAAGACACAAAAAATGCCAAAGAAAGAAAAAGGAACAAAGAAAAAAAAACAAAGACCACAACCAAAACTCACTCCAAAATAAACTTTGCAGGTAAGAAGGAGCCAGAAAGAAGTATTCAAAGTCATAAAAGACAAGGACCTACATCCAAGATTACTCTATCCAGCAAAGCTTTC